AACAAATTTCGGTCTTTGACAGGCTGAGACCGAATTTCTCGGTCTCGGTATTTTTGGTTCGGTCTTCGGTTTGGTCTTATTTTGCCCACCCCTAGAGATACACACTCGCTTCGTCATAAAAATTAGTTGATTTCTTCAAATTTTGTTCAAATTAAATAAGTTTATTTATGCTCTCTTATGTAACCTTAGCTTCGGTTCATAAGTCAATAAGTTTTACCTCTTCAATACCACTTACATGCAGACACAACAATACTACTTTTATATTAATAAAAGATACTTTGGTATTTTTCTCTCACTACTAAGGATGTGCAATTTGAGAGAAGATAAAAATAGTTGATTGAGAAGATACACAAAATGAGATGAGTCATTAGCGTATAATTAATGGATCAGTATTGATTATTTTAAACTTGAAAATAGATTAATATGTTTTTTTCAATCAACTTTTGTATGGAATTTTTTAAAAATATATTGTTTACCAGTTCGGGAAATGTGAAGAGTGGAAAACAAGAGATTTTTTTCTATCAATTCACTACTAACTAACGCAGCCAGGTTCCCTTTGGTTTAAAGAAAAATCATAGGAACTTTGGAGTTCATTCCTATAAATTTTTTTCCTATATACTTTCTCTGTTTCATAATGTAAGTCATTCTAGCATTGCCTATATTCATATAGATGTTAATAAATCTAAACATATATGTGTTCTAGATTCATTAACAACTATATGAATGTGGATAATGCTAGAAAGTCTTACATTATGAAATAGAGGGAGTAGTTCTTTCAATCTGAACACACTATAGAATCCTATGAAATGATTCATTCTATGCAAGATTTGGAGAAAAATTAACATGGATTAGATAGAATCTTAATAGAAAGTTCCCTTGAGTCTTTATCTCTTCTCAAATTCTTATATTTATTTTATAGCCTAATCAAACATCATTAATGTGTTTTACAATTATTTATTTTACACTTACATTCTTATCAAAATCATGTGTTTTGCAATGGCACCAATTTAATTAACCCTTTTCATATTCCGTATTTCAAAGGGGCTCTAAAGCTTTATCGGGATGCAAGGGATCCATTAATTTATTTTCGGATTTTGAGCTTTTATTTAAAAGCAATACGAGTTATGGTTTTATTAAAGTAGGACTTACTAACATTTGGTGCTGTAATCCTTATATCTAGAAGCCATATAATATTTTGGATCTTACGGTATTCGGGATGTTGGGTACTATGATGAATCGTTTAATTCATTGCAAACATTGGCTTAGTTGCTAGTCACGATTCATTAGCTTAGTCAGAGGTTGTTTATAATCATATTGTGGACTCCTTTGAAACGCATAGATTAAAAACACACTGCGAAAAAGAAAAAAAAGTCCTTGTCCTGCTCGTGCCGCTCAGCCCCGGGGCGGCACGGGCAGCGACCAGGCGAGCGCCATCGCCAACCACTTCTCCTCCTCCCACCACCTCGCCGCCACCCGAGCGGCCACCCGACAAAGCCGGGCTGGCGTAAGGACGGCGGTGGCGGGGCTCCTTGCCTTCTCTCGTGAGCGCGGTGGCTCGGGGCGCTGCCAAGACAGAGGGAGGACTCCAAGTGGTGGTCTTCAGCGGCCAGCTCCGACGTCGGTGGGGACAGATCCGGCCCCCACATGGCCGGATCTGGCGTCCTAGCCAGTGGATCCAGGCGGAGGTGGCACGATGGTCGTTGGTGTGTAGCCGACAGTGCATACGGAGAAGGCCGGCGGCGCGTGGGCGGAGGTCGATGGCGCGATCGGAAGGCCGCCGGCGCCCGGGGAGGCGGTCGCCGGTGATGGCGTGCAAGGAGGAGGCCGTCCACGCGCGGGAGAAGGTCAATGGCACAACGGGAAGGCTGGCAGCGCATGGGGAGGCGGTTGCCGGTATTGTGGCGGCGACCAGGCGAGCGTGCCGCCGCCAACTTCTCCCCTCCACCTCGCCGAAGCTCGACCTCCTCTCTCGGGCACGGTGGCCTGGGAGGAGGCGTGGCGCCCAACGAGGAGCGTGGAAGAGGCGGTGGATGTGGCGACGTGCGAGGTGGACGGCAGCGACGTCTGCGGGCAGCGACCTCTGCAGGTGGCCGACGCGGGGAGTGGGAAAGGAGGCCGGCGGTGTGCGAGGCCACGGCAGGCGGCGCATGAGGAGATTGGCAGCGTGCAGGTGGCGCGAGGCCATGGGGAACGCGGAGGCGACGGTGTGCGCAGGGGGGCACGATGCTGTCCCACACGGCGACTTGTGGGACTGCCCTCCACCGCGACGACGGCAGCGGAGCGGGGCGAGCCTGCTTGAGCTGTGTATGGTGGGCTAGGCTTGGCGGGTACAGAGACGATGTGGTTGTCCGGCAACGTACGTTGTGTGGATGGGTTGTGTGGTTTTGGATGAAAATTTCTAGCGAAAGCCTTGGCTAGCCTTTGGTTGGCTTGACGACGGCGGCACCCTTAGGCGTCGTTACGGCACCTTTTCTCCCTCACTACCAAGAACCCTGCCCATGCAACGATGGTCGTTAGTGGACTCCCGCATCGAAGCTCTATAAGCCTAGCTATTCGGCGAGGCCTTCGCCTCCTAGGTTTCGTTCTTAGATGTGGTGAGCGTCCAGCTTTCTTCGTTTTCTACTAGGTGAAGTCGAAGTTGCTTCGTTGGGTGCGATGAAGCTTGGCAACGATAACACATTGCAGTTTTCGAGGGGTGCTGGTGTCTCATTTCTACGGTGCCTTTGGCAACGATGATGTGATAGCCGTGGAGTTGGAGCTGCTATGTCTCTAGGCGACAAGCTCAGCAACGATAACATTTGCCTCGCGAAGTCGAAGCCTTTGTATCGCTTACAACAAACTTTTTATAGATGGCTGCTTTGGGCTCCGCCTTTGTCCTTTTTTCTTGGTCTTGGTAGATTAGGTTAGCTAAGTGTGTTGTAGTTGTGGTTTTCGCCCAGTTTTCCCTAATTAACTGTGCATTGTATGATTTTGGTTCCGTTTTCTCCTTAAAATGGAATAACGTCGGCAACGGCCTAACCGTTTGAAAAAAAAACACAGCAACATATAAAAGACAAAAATTGGATGTCATGACACATATGTATTCCTACAGGAACTAAAATTACAATTTAATTAGTGTGAATTGGTCATTTGGATAACTACGGATTTACGAGCAATGCTGTAGGCGCGAAATCGTCAGGACAAATATGATTTACCATGAAATAGTTTTTCTGTTCGGTGGACTGACAGAAATAGTCAAAAAAAATCCCTACAGAAGAGTATTTTTGATTAATTTTTTTGGTGGAAAAAATGGTGTTGTAGTGGCGTGGAGTCCATATAGATTGTGCACAACTTATCTAATTCGGTTACATATTAGGAAACCGGTGCGTATTACTTGTAGTCTACTTCATCCCGTCCACCGGTCACCGGTGGGCACCGGCGATTGGAGAGCGGTCTCCAAAACCATCACCCTCGTGAAGTCTTGCACCAGAAGAGGGAGAGGAGGGAGAGCAAGGTAGCGTCTATTGGTGTGCACCACGTAGATTTCTGGAACCGTCATCCTAGTGAACCATTGCACCGTGGAGAGGGGAAAGAACATGATTACAGAAACCTTATTCGCCATCGTGAAGTCTTGCACCGGGAAAGCGGGAGGATGAAGAGCATATCTCTAGGGAGAGGGCGAATAAGGTTTTTGTGAAGTGTCCCACGTGACTGCTCGCTATTCGTCCACAACGACTCGTTTTCTACTACGCTCAAAAGCTACGCGTCGTTATCCTGTTGGGTAATGCACGGCACATTTCAATCATATTTCCTAATATTAATATTTTCTCATGTGTAGCTTTCCAGTTTATATATATGTCTAAATTGTGTAAGATGATTATGCTAATTAATCTACATCTTTAATATAAGATAAATTAAATCTACCTATACTTATATTTTTATTTTTTTCCAACGGACGATCCAACCTATATCATGACAATTAAGTTTCAGTTTTCTAATAAAATCATTGAGGTTGAAAATGCCTAGTAAAACTAGTAGCAAAACAGTAATTTTGATAAAATATATACTCGTCTAACATAATGCATGTTTATTAATATCAGCGCGTGGCCAAACATACGTTTTGCTGGCGAATGGCGATGATTTCGTCTAGTATAGCAGGCACAGCTGCAAGAAGAATTATACTATTAAAAAGGGAAAAAAAGAACAGAAAATGAGATCAAACTTTATTCGCAAATTAAAGAGATCGATTCAAGACGACGGCCGCGACGGCGAGCCCTGCGGCGGCGGCGGTGGCGGCGGCTGCGCGGCCGGCGGGCGTTGTCTCTTGATGTCCACGGCGAGCTCCCGCACCTCTGCCACGAGCCGCGAGACCTCCCGCACGTCGTTGTCCAGCTGCTTCGCCCGCCGCGCCTCGGCGCCGCCGTTGAAGACGTACTCCCTGAGCAGCCTCGCCATCGGCTTCGGCGCCGCCGCCTCCGCCAGCTTCTCCACCTCCGACAGGTGCCGCGCCGTCTTCCACCCGCCGTACCACCCGACGGACAGCGGGATCAGCCACCCCAGCAGCCGGCGCGACATTATATATCGCGATATACGATTCTACTACTTCTAGATTTCTAGTGATGAATTGAAATCGATCGATCACCAGCGGATATATTATATTATCTCTCTAGATCTCTTCCGAATTTCGATCTGATACGATGAACATATATATAATGGTGTGCCGATCGAGATGATCTGCTCGGGTTTTAGATGCTAACGGGATGCAATGCATGGCTTGCGTTCCAAGATGGCAGAGTTTGCGTCGAGCCAGACGATGCAGGCTCAGGCCTGACCGGCAAACGGCCCAATTTTGTATGCACCTCCCATCGTTTGGCCTAGCTGGCTAGCTGATGTAATTGGCTTATTAGCAAGCAAAAAATAATTTCATATATAAACTTTTATACACGTGTGCTTGATGATTTAAAACCAATGCTCGAAATAAACTATGGTGAAAAAAAAACTCAAAATCAACAGTTCTATAATTAATTCAAATTTTGCCAGCTGCTTATAAAATTGACCTCATGCCTGCAGGATCATACTGAAGGTCTTTTTAACACGAGAGGCCTCTTCTTGTGCGTTACGAAACAAAGAATGCAATGGTCCCAAACACAAGAACGTGCGCACCAAATAAATGACGGCAAAATTATTGCTTCAAAGGAATCCAATTCAACAAAACAGAACGCACAAACCACCACTAACAATCCAATCACTTGTTCATGGGAATTCGACAAATTACCCTTTTCCTTCGGGCTTCAGTTCCATAAAAACCGAAATCTGTCCTAGATTTTCTTGCGCCAAACGGGAGTCGTAAGTGTTCAGAGTCTGCATGGTATTTGCTAATGACTCGCAATTTCAGATCTATATTCAAAGTTCGAACCTATTGTATGCCTATCCACTTGGCATAGTCAACCCACCTGAAAAGGTAAAAAAGTTTACCCAGTAAGTGACCTGATCAGAAAGGAACAGAGTTTAACCACTTGACTCCAGAGGGATGCAGATTACTTACAGTAGAGAACCCAAGAATGTGTTCCCTGTTCGAACAGCAAAGCACAGTGCACTCAACACTAGTTTGTGGTGGTGTAGTAATGGCTCGAGCATCCTCTGTTCAATCACTCCAGCCAGGATTTGGTACCTGTTGAAAAAGGAGTTAAAGAAAAGCATGGTGAGTACAAAAAAGATTTAGAGTAAATTATAAAAACTATAGGTACTTTAATCAAACTATCACAAAACTACATATTTAAGGCATTGTTTTCACAAAACTAAAGATTTAGCACTAAAGTTATCACACAACTACAGATTTAGCAACAAAATTATCGCAAAACTACAAGTTTAGCACCAATTAAATCACAAAACTATAACGTCTATGGCTCCAATAGAATAATACTACTAGCGATTTAAACTCTATAATCTATAGTTTTGTGCTAGCTGTAGTACTAAATCTATAGTTTTATGATACTTGGCTTAAATCTGTAATTTGTGATAGCTTTGGTGCTATACTATAGCTCTGTGATACAACACCTTAGATCTATAGTTTTCTAATAGTTTGGTTAAAATACCTCTAGTTTTGTGAAATTTACTCTCAGAAAATGTATGTTAGGCAATGTAGATGATTGTTGTGGAAAATGTTATAAGAGTCGGCATGTTTCTCATGTTAGAATTTGGTACTTCACAATGACAAGGAAGCTACGACCGGGATTCTTCGGTGATATACAAATACAATAGAGCACAACTAGTAGTTCTAATTTAGATTTACAAATAGGAGAGATCATGTGATTTCATAAAGATTTTAGAATAGTATCCAACAAAAAAAATGATAGACATGTCCAACAGTCAAGAAGTGAGCAGCTAACATTTGAGCTACCCTTTTCATCAGGTAAAATGAACAGATATTTATATTCGTGGGAATTAATGTATAAACAAATATATGTGTTACCTGAGGTTACTGGAAACGGCCATGTATACACCATAGGCAACACTAGTTGATACAATTGGAATATCCTCGCTTTCCCCTTCAAAATCCTTACTAACAGCCTTTCGTGCTTTTATCAGTGCATTGGTCACACCAGTTCCAATCTGGAAATTAAATTGGATACACAGTGTAAGCTTTCCTAGTAGTCTTGGAAAGCGGATGAATAAAAGTGACAAATGACCCAAAAGTTGTGTTAAGACAAAGTAGTACAATGTATCATCAATAAATCATACATTTTAATGTCTGAAGTGCCATCTACCTTTAAAAATATATATATGGCATTCTGGAAGGCATAATTGCTCTTTCCTTTCTTTTAACATTAACAAAAAGAACAGTGATATTCCAATGCCCTGGAGTCATTACATTTGTACAGCCAACTTAACAGCATCAACAAACTAATTGAGTCGTACATTCCAGGCCTTAAGGTTTTCGAATAAACAACTAGGCGGCACTTTGAATATGCATGAAAAGGACCAAGCAGATCCTACAGTCTCCTATATATTACTTTATTGTATTATTTTATCAATGAAACATTACTTCTCACACATCACAAACAAGTCGAGAATCTAAGCAATTTGTTCTACTAATGCCAATTAATAATAAGGAAAATAGACTGTCGTTTTTTTGTCTGAAATCACAACTATGACAAACTTACCAGGGATGCACTAGTTCCCACTGCAAAAAGTTTTGCACCATTCCTCTGAAAGAAGCAAAATTGTTAGATAATAGGAACAACCTGCTAAAATAATGCAATTTCAACTGTGAGGGCCACAATATGGCCCAGAAAGATACCATAATAGCTCCTACGCGCTGCAAAAGGGAGTATGATGTTCCAGCCAAAGCAACCTGCAGGAGAAGTTACTAAGTTCATTTTCAAGTTTTAAATAAAGGATAAACATTTTTCCTTCTGAAAAGGAAAATTTACATCTATGCCGAAAGGAAAAGGAGGAAATAAGCTTAAAACATGCCCAGATCAATGTGAGGTTATTGTTATGTCACCTGGAAGGCATTATCTGGGCAATTGTGGAAGAATTTAGCAATAGATCCTGCATTTACTGCTAGTGGTGGCTGCAGAGACACTGTTGGAGCAGGAAGCCAAACCAACATAAAGTCTGCAACTATTGCCATGACCTGGAAAGTATTAAACTACAGATTAGGACTCTAGTGACTAATTGCAAGTAATAACAATTCAGCTTGAAATGACTTGGATAACATTGGCATAGTTTATATAATCACAAGGGGTGAATAAGAAAAAAGTAGTAAGAAACTAAGAGTCACCATTTATATAATTTACCATGCGCATATTTTGGAGAACATCTACAATTGAAGTGGAAAAAATCAATTGGTGGTAGTAAGAAATGGAATTATTTGTTGTTGATTAGTACTATTTCGGAAATTAAATGTGACAAGACTTTCTAACATTGTTGTAGTAGTTCGTGGCACAACTGGTACAAAGTAGGCATGAACGTTTTCCTACATTTAAGAAACTTATAACACCTTCTCTGTATGCAACATAAATGATCATGTAGTGTGAAGGTTGAGAACAGCACAACATGTTTAACTAAACAGAAACTTATCCAGCCACAACAGTTAGCTAAGTTGTAACATTTGATTGTAAGATACATATCCAGTGCTAGACCTTGACTCAGTACTAACATTCTAACTCAATTAGTTTGGGCAATCTACTTGCAAAATTCAAAGGAAAAAAAGGTGGAGGTATCACTTAGAATCATCTGCAAAATGTCATGTTCATACTTAATTATGCTTTGAGATAAACAAAAGGAAAAAAATATGAAATGAAAATAGGCCATTATCCAAAGAGGGGAAAAAAAACATTTTCCCTGTTTCTCAGCATGCATATAATGTACAGTTGAGATTGAAATTTTACATGATTGACCATTGGACCTAGCCAAAGACTTTGCAGCTACTTTTACCTTTCCTTTCTTGCAAATATCCAAGTTCACTAATACCAGTTTAAAATTTTATATGATTGATCTTGTTGAATACTTTGCAGGCAACTTTTACGGGTTTCCTTCCAAGTATAAACATATTTGCACCAAGAGTTACCACTAGACATGACGCCATAAAAGAAAAGATATTTTCTTTCTTTCAGACAACTGTTGTCCATGCTTTTATAAATTAAGCAACAATGAATCATATATTGGTTGCATTTGAAATGTTAATTTGACCTTGTAAGTGCAGATGAAACAGGGAGGCAAGAGGGTGCTTAATTATCTCCCCAAAAAATTACATGTTTACGATTTTTTCCACAATCTGAAACCATCTTGCTGCACCCTTGGACAGTGAACCCTCTAGTTCTGAAGGCACAGCGGCAAGCAACTCGACAGAATAAACTAGCTTCTAGAATTGCAGAAGAAAAAGAATGGCAATATCCAAAATGATAATAGAAGCATACCACATCTGCAATCACAAAGTCAAGCTCTTTGACAAAGTTTTCCCTCCTTCGCTCATACTCTGCTGCAGTCTACAAGAATTAGAGAGGATATACCAAATCAGCAGTAAGAAATCTGTACAAGCATTGTGAACTGAATCACAGAGCCATAAAATGTATTCATGGTAAAAGGAAGAACTCCAAGAGAAACAATTTCAGACAAAGAAAGTAGGGGGGTAGAAAGGTGAGGTACTGTAAAGTCCAAGTGAAAATATCACACTGTCTCTAAAAACAATGTATTCAATTCAAGTGATATACCCCTGCATGGCATGTACTTTCTCTTCTGCCAGCAGATGGGCAAGTTTCTTCATATCTCGAAGTAACTCAAGTTCTCCATGCGCTTGCTAGTGGATTGTCTGAAGGATAGGACCACATATAGCCAACAGAAGGTGACCATTCCATATTGGCCAGTGGTCCATGTAAAGCAGAAGAATGCCACTCTAGTCATTTGCATAAATACTTTTATTTCCAGCAACAGAAATGCTCTTTTATTCCACTCTAATCTAATAAACCTTTTTTAAAATATCTTTTCTGAAAGGTTATATTCACCATTTTTTTATATGGTAATCCAGCATCTGCTTTGTTTGTTGAATAAATCCTTCTGATCAGGCATCTAAACCAAGCATAAATATTCCAGGTCCATTCATCGCAGAAGCTTCCAGCCAAACACAGCCAGTTGTGAGCAAACAACCTTACCATCTCGGAAGCGACGGAGCAATGCAAGAGTTAGACACGCATCGCCATCAAACCAAACCCCGACTACTAAAACAATCTAAGCCAGGGAATCAGTCGGAATCTCATCTCTAAGACAGCTAGCTAGACCACAGAAGATTTGACAGTAAAGGTAGTCAAGTCCACAGCGAACCAAACCAAACCAAACCACCACATCTGTATGATCCGAAGTACGAGCCACATAATAACACAACCAAAAACTAAAAAAATTAAAAAATGGTAATGTTGGAATAATTCCTCACGGACCTTGGTGAAGATTCCGACGCCGCACTCCATGGCGACCTTGGCGAGGAAGAGGTCGTCGGCGAGGAGGCGCTCCTTGAAGCCGCCGAACTGGAGCAGCCAGCGGAAGAGTCCCGACTTCTCGAGGTCGGCGAACCGCTGCACGATCTCCCCGGGGACGCGGCCGCCCTCGATGGCCGCGGCGAGGTCGGCCGGGAGGCTCTCGAGCTTCCGCCCCAGCTGCGCCAGCACGAACAGCGCCTCCCTCCTGTTGACCGACGCGTCGTCGTCGCCGCCGTCTCCTCCGCCCGCGTTGTCGCGACCCTCGTCGTCATCGCCTCCGCCGCCGATGCCGATGCCGCCGCTTCCGGAGGAGGCTAGCGGGGCGGGAGGGAGGAGGGGGCGGGCGAGGCGGAGGACGGGGAGGTTGAGCGGGAGGGAGCGCGGGAAGGGGAGGTGGGGGACGGGTTGCTGCAGCTGCAGGTGGAGGTGGAAGGAGGAGGAGGAGGACGTAGGGTGGGACGCCGCGGAGAGGGAGTTCGGCGACGGGAACGCCATGGCCGCCGGGAGGGAGAAGGGTTTTGGGCGGCGGCGGCGGCGGGTGGTGGTGGAGGGCGTGGACCGGAGTGTGGTGGTGGGTTGGTTGCTTGGTTGGTTTGAGGTTGGTGGCGAACAACCGCGCGAGGCCACCGCGATGAGTAAACAAACACAAGTAGTGGTACAGCCTCGCGCGACGGAGGGGAACGGCAGGTGGGGCCATTGACGCTGCGAGGCTGCGATGGAGGTGGGTCGACGAATCGACGGCTCAAAATCGCTGGAAGAAAAACTATTTGTACTTTGGAGGTTGGGAAACCTCTCCAACGAAGTCGGAAAGTGTTCGGCGGCGAATGGGTACGCATGGCGTGGTGCACGGTTCACTTCCCAACCGAATTCTACGCTACTACTCAGGGAGTATAAAACACAGCTCTTGACTCGACTCGATCGAGTCGGAAAGTTAATGAGTCAAGTCTAAATTTTTCTTGTCTACTCACCGAGTTAGCTCGAGCTAGCTCGTGAGTTGCTCACTTAAAAACAAGTTTAGATGGTGTTTGGTTTATGGCCACACTTTACCATACTTTATTTTTTATAGCTACAGTTGGTTTACCACACTTTTTCAATATTATATTCTACATGTCATAAACTTAATTTTCTTGTCAACTTTACCACACTTTGTAGCTAGAAATTTGTCCACCACAATTTTGTGGCTGCCACAACTTGCCTAACGTTAGTTGTGGCAAAGTGTGGCCGCTACCAAACACACCAATAATATAGCCTACTACCAGCTCCAAAATTTAGAACATCATCTATAATCAATTTAATAACTCACTCATACAATAGTTAGCTATAGAAATATACTACATCATTAATGTATAATCCACCCATCTCTCTCACATGGTTTACTGGAGCTCGTGCTGCAGCTGGCTACAAATTTGTAGCCCGATTTTGTTCTCTCTCCTCTCATCTCTCCTCCACACAAGTACAAATCTGATATGGTAACTTGTATAGCCCACTTATGTCACCTTACTGCACTCGCTCTTAGGCTGGAGTTGTGGTTGGAAACTCACCTCCCGCGCACGCAAAACGAAGCGACACATTTTCTTACGATTAATTAAGCATTTACTAATTTTTATTTGAAAAATAGACAAACATGATTTTTAAAGCAACTTTCGTATAAAAATTTCTTAAAAAAAGACTGTTTAACAGTTTGAAAAGCGTGTGTGCGAAAATTGAGTGAGATGAGTTATAAAAGTTGGGGAGATAGGTCAGCCTAAAGCTCATTTAGCTCACGATGCATTAAAATTTAAGTCTATTATCTATACTTTTTAGACTTATTAAAGAAGGTAACCCCATAATTATATGCTGTAACGTAATCTTGTAATCGATACGTATAGATTTTAAACCATATATTATATCATAACAAATTTAGTGAATTTAGAGTAACTCCCGCTTTCGTTAACTTAATGAGTTTTTACGGGTTGCTTATTGCTCATCCCTTAACCTGGTGTGACGGAGTGTCCCGCAGCACATGGTTACGTGCAACCATCGATCAAATAAGATTAACTCTATACATGATACAAGATAAATATTTTAATAAATGTATAAGTAGGAGAAATATAGGTAAAAACAACCTTATAACTAATTTGTTGTACGTGGCTTATAGCTAGTATAACTCCTATTAAAGTCGTTGTTGTAAGATACTTAACTGTTCCAGTGATTCTCCGCTTTTGTACATGTGGTCGTTAAAGCTTGGTCAAGTGGTTCTTTTCTATCAGTATGCTATCGGTTGACTTTCTGTTTTGTACTTTTGTTGATGTAAGCATCAATTTACTGTTCATTGTTAACCAAAGGCCAAGTTGTTCTTAACTTATTCATCGGACTATTAAAATATTTATTCCACGCTTTGAAATACATGTTTCTTTTAAAAAAACTTTTTTCTACAGTGTTGTTTAGATTAGACTACTTATCTCAATTGTTAAGTTTATTTGCACATATTAAATTTATCACTAATTAAATCAATAATCCGTCTAATAATCTAAACCAAACGAGATATTTATCATCGTAGTTCTATATTCCCACTAATAACAATCGCTCTGATATTAAATTTCTAATGAATGTAAACATGGACGTTGAATCTAGTTGGCAACAAATCTATACGCATACGTGTCCAGATTCATTATACTAGATTGTATCCCATCCCAACTAGGTTAGCCACTATCTAGATTAATCATATTAGATTATGTCTCGTCCCCAACTAGGTTGGATTTTTTTTAGACATCCCACGCATACGTGTCCAGATTCATTATACTATATTGTATCCCATCCCAACTAGGTTAGCCACTATCTAGATTAATCATATTAGATTATGTCTCGTCCCCAACTAGGTTGGATTTTTTTTAGACATCCCAACCGAATGGATAGACTATAGTTATGTTAGACTATTAGTACTACTTGTTTTTAAGATGGGAGACAGTAACATTTTGAAACTAAGAAAATACAGAGTACTCCGTATCGAAATCATTAGCATCATATCCTAGTTTCCGCTATACGACTGCCTCCTCCGTTTTAAAATGTAGCAGGTTAATACTAAATGAAACATATTTTATTCTTTTTTAAAATATAGCAAGTTAATACTACATAAAACATTTTATCGTACCATTAATATAGATATCTATATTTATATTGCTATGGTAAGATAGTACTTCCTCCGTTTCAGTGTCTAATCCATTAACATCTATATAAACGATTCTAGTCCCGAATGTGCTCGAGTGATACATAGCTTGCTTTCAGAAAATTTTCATAAGAGCTTCAGATAGTACTTGTATTACTATTCTCGCATAAATCGAACCGCTGCTGCTATCATTCAAAAATGGCACAATGCAAACTTGCAACGATTCAGGAACCGCAAGTACTGGTGAGAATAAACTGCTGTCGTAAGCTCAAGGATGACTATGGACAAAATATTGATCATTACAACAAACATCTCAGAAAACACATCTATAAGTCCGTAAATAATTTGCTCGTAAGTACAAATGGCCAACAATATCACCCCTTCGTCGACTTGGGCATCGTGTAACTGCTGGATGGATGCAGGTGAGACTGAAAAAAAAACTGTACCTAAGCACCTCCCTTGCCTTCCCCCACCATGTTTCCCGGTTCATTTATCGCTAAGGGTGGATGGTTAATTTTGTGAAGGTGGTAGCAAACACCAGATTTCTTAACTGGTGCTTTTCGTGGCATTTAGTCTGATGATTCTGAGCCATAGTCAAGCATTTCTTTGATGTTTAACTTGATTGAAGGCCCCATTGATGAGCATAAGTATGCCGTTTTCCAGTATATCCCCTTTGCACCAGATGGTTTGTTCCTTTCGACAGAGCGCTGTAAAGATATAGCAGAAGGCAGGTCAGCATAGGTTTTAAGTTACATCAATAAAGATGCTTATAGGAGCAGATATCTTACAACAACAGCCATGAAGTTTGCAATAAGGTCTTCTTCAGGAAAATCAACCTTCCCAAAGGGAATGTGAACAATCCCTGTCTTGTCAACTCTGTATTCAACTTTACCTTTCTTGAACTCTTCGATAGCCTGAAACCATTTCCACAGTTAACATAATTAACATAATCAATCTCTAGGGGCGGAGCTAGCACAAAATGAAGGGGGGTTCCACTTGCTTGCTTTACTCTAGTTTGAATCAAATTTAGCTTGATACGGGTGTCTAAATTTGAACTGACAGAGTATATATATGGTGAAAATGGACAAACTATAGCTAAAAAAAATTTTCAACCGGGTTCCTGGGCACCCCCCTAGCTCTATGTAGCTCCGCCCCTGTCAATCTCCATTTACAACTTAATACTTCAAGCAAAATGTTCAAATACTTCAGTTTTGTACTGGTACAACAATCACAAATGACATTATATGATTATAAACAATGACATCCTTTTACATGTGTGTCAATGGCAAAAGTTAGAATTTCTCTACATGTAGAAACATGAATAGAACAAGATGACTGGTACACAACTTCAACCATTGTTGGCATTAGGCAGACTTGATTTGAAGAACAATTTATAGAGACAACGAGGATTGACAAGATTTAGAGGTTCCCATGTTCATTTGAAAATAGCTGTATGAGCATTAATCAATTATTGTAGTCATGGCTGATGCTAAGGTTACATTTGTATATTGCAGCCTTGAATCTATCTACTGAAGTATTAAATTAGAGAAATTGGGCCCTTTTCATAGATATATGAGCACAATATAGCCCAGTTCATTACCTAAAGGGCTAGATTTTTCACAAATGCTCCCACTCCTGTCCTTCAGTTAACCGTTATAAATGATGGTTGTTCCTAACAGTCAAGTAGCCTACTTTACCTGTTTTCTCTATTTTGCAGATTTGTTGTGATGCTTTACATAACTGTTACGGAGGCACTATGCAGGCTAAGTAGCAGATTACCATCATCATCAGTCATTACACGATCATTTGCTCTATGGCTGATAAGCCGTGGAAAAATGACGAAGCAACCAAAAATAACTTTTGAGTAAAACGTCTATATCTATGTTCTTAGCGATTCAAAAGCCAGCACTGGAGAATAAAGCACAATAAAAAAAACCCCTCAAAATCAATTCTAAATTAAGTTTCAAAATCCAGATTTTGGCTGCCGTTGATAAGCCAACAAACGAACGATGGAGCTATGCATCCATGCATATCCTCAAATTCAGTTGGCACAAACAAAATTTCAAACCTTCTATCTACGAATAACAAGGTTAAAAAAATGTCTATCAACATGTCTGAAAATCGAACCACTGAAATATATTGCACACACAATGAAGACTACTAAACAAGGTAGCAATATATCAGTAGGTTTTCTCCCAGAAGTGCATCTATGAGGTAAGTACTGAGATGACGTAAATGGACAACTTCTTTGAACAAAAGGGCAGGAGTTCTGCCTATTGCATTGAACGAGGATAAAACAGAAGTTCACCAAGGATCAAAGAAGGTAAATGGACAGTTACCCACCTTTCACTCAGGGTCACAATAACCAAGCAAATGGGAGAGAAAACCACAAGCAACAGTGTCAATACATATAGTAATCTGTAGAATTTCCATTGTACCTGAGTTATGTTTGGAGAAACAGTCCCAGCTTTGGGGTTAGGCATAAGTCCTCTCGGTCCTAGAATCTTTCCCAATCCGGCGACCTGTGAAGCAAAAGACCAAAATCAACAACATAATATGCCGAGCTAGTAGCACACCTTTAAAACTTCCATGCAGGTCTTGCATGGAGCTCAACACTTATTGCAGAACTGCATCCAAACTTCCGAAGAATGTACCAATTCAAAACAGTAGAACCTTATTTGCTTATCGAATCTATTTTCTCTGAGTGAACCAAATTTGCATATCTCCATTATGGCTCAAATCATAATCGTAAATGCTAGACACTTGTAATATGAAGGGATGGATCAGATATGGCAGGTAATGATAAGAAAACAATATCTGATCAATACAACTAAATGTTGCCTGGTTTTGTGGTTCCTAATAACACTGAAACATAACGTGTTCATTTGGATGTGGGATAAACTATGTCGGAGACATGCAAAAAGACAAGTCTTCATAATGCTTGGAATTGTTTTAGACATGAGTTATGCAGCTAATGCCATACCTTAGGCATCATATCAGGTGATGCAATCAGCTTGTCAAATTCCATAAATCCTCCTTTTATTTGGTCAATCAGGTCATCTCCACCGACAATATCAGCTCCTGCAGCTCTTGCTTGATCTATCTTCTCACCTGCAAGGATATTTGACAATAGCCATTACATAGTGCTAGTGATTAGTGCACCACTTTAGTGACTAGCGCGCATTCACATACTTCCATTTCAATTCACTATATAACAGCGTGCTTCCAATTTAATGAACCGTAAATAACCACATGATCAAGCAGGCAAACCACACCTAAAAGACACAACTAGCAGTGACCTAATCAATCCATGCACCAAAGATTGCAATTGGAATTGGTGCTGCGATAACAATCTCCAAAATGTAATTGCAACCCACCTTGTGTGAGGACCGCAATCTTCACCGACTGGCCCGTCCCCTTGGGCAAATTAACCTGCACATCATCACCAAAACCGATCCAATATCATCAAAAACGATTGATAAAACACAAGCCAGAACAGAACGTACGTAACAATGGCAACAGCAGAGAGAAAGAGCAATAACCGTGGCGCGGAGCTGCTGGTCGTTGTACTTGGGGTCGAGGTTCATGCGGAAGTGCGCCTCAGCGGACTCGACGAATCGGGCGCTGGCCATCTGCTTCACCAGCGAGATGGCCGTGGGCACGTCGTGCTCCTTCTTGCTCTCCCTCAGCTTCTGTATCTCCAGGAATCGCTTCGACCTCGTCTGCAAACCCATCAAAAAAAAGGCGAACGCGGCGTCAGCGTCAATCCAAAAATCAACACGAATGGATGAACACGCGGGGGGGAGGCTGGATTCGGGGGGGGCATACGCGGTCGCGCTTGAGCGGAAGGGCGGCCTTGCCGGTGCGCGGGCGGGTGGGGGGCGTGAACGCGGGGCCGCGTCCGCCCTCGTACCCGTCGTCGTAGTCGTCGTCGTCGTACTGCTCCTGCCCCTCGTCCTGCTGCTCCCCCTGCTCCTCCTCGAGCACGGCGCCCTGCGGGTCTGCGACGGCGGCGACGGCGGGGCGGCGGAACGCGAGGAGCAGGCGCGGGTAGTAGGCGCGCAGCGACGGGACGGGGGTGGGGAACAGCGCGGTGGACGAGGAGGAGCAGCACTGCGCCGCCGCGGCGCCGGTGGTGGCGGGGGCGGGGGCGAGGAGGGAGGAGGCGGTGGCGGAGAGGGAAGCGGCTGTGGCCATGGTGGTGGTGGTGGTGGTGGGGAGGGGGGAGGAGATAAGCCGAGGTGGAGGATAGAAAGGGGAGGAAAAGGCGAAGTGGCAGCGCGAGAGTGTTATAATAGCCGGTGAGGCGAGGGCGAGGCGAGCGGGCGAAGCGCGCAGCGGATAGGGCTCTCTCTCGCTCGCGCGTCGCGGGGGACGGGGGAGGACTCGTGCGATTTGGGCTATTTTGGATTAGCCGAGCCGTGTGTGCCCGCGCGCGCGGGGGAGACGGTTGGGGGAGGGTGGTGCGCTGCGGCGCCGCGGGCGTCGGATTGGGCCCAAAAGCTCACGATTTCGCCGTTACTGGGTACGGTCCAAAAGAACCACCGATAATGTAGTGCTATTTACTTTTTAAAAATACTACGAACCATTACCCATAATCTGTTAGTTGCGAGAGTATCAGAAATGTCTGGCCGTACCATCAGAGTACCTACACTCTCTATCCCAAAAGATACAACTTCTAAGAGTGTTCACAGTAGAAGGATGTGACGTTCAGCCCCATAGCCAAGAACTGAATATTCGGCGCCGCATTGACAGTACGCGGAGCCAAATAAGGTTCTCGTACCCAAACATGGATACTCGTTCTTCAAACGAAGAAAGCAGGGAGAAAGGTGAGTTGTCGTGTTGTGGAGGGCGGAGCCTCACACGAGTGGCTTCGCGCAGCGTCGACAGCGAGCGCATTGTCGCCACAGCCACGGGGAGAGAGAGAGAGGAAGGCGCCATCGACGAAGAGGCTGCGACCGCCACCGTATCCAATGATGAGGATGGGAGCTCGCCGTCCGGCACCGTCGCAGCTCGGGCTGCCCTGACAGCCGCCGCCGCTCAGCCCCAGCGCCTCGGATGCCCTGGTGAGAAAAGAAATAGAGTGAGAGATTGGGGGATGAAAGATTTCGGATGAGAAAAGAAACAGAGGAGAGAGAGAGATTGAGAGATGAAAATTGAAAAAACTGTACCGGTGGGACCCACTACTAGTACTTGCATTGTAGAGGATGAAGCTTAACAGGTTCTTCGTCTACGTGGCATATGAGGAACGGCAAAAATATGTAGCGCACTGTGAATGTCCTAAGAATGTTGTCCGGATTCATTCCTAGAAATTGATTTTTTATGGGACGAAGGAAATAGGAACCAATACGAGAGTCTGATAATGTGGTATTAATGGATATCGTGTCTGGTAGTACCAGATCCAGTGCACATACAAATATGATACCTACGATCCTGTGCTGATGTTAGCACCATAAGGTATTCTGTTGTAACAGTATAGTGTTATGTAGTAGTTCTTTTTTTTTTGTCACATGCAAACTTTACAAGATCTCTTTTAGAAAGAATATTGGAAGAAATTGGACTGAATGTCTTAATCTTATGCAATTCATGGGTTCTGAGAGCATCAACAATGCGTGTCTCCAGGGCGTCCCCCCACCCGACGCCGTCTCCTTCCGTTTGAAAAAGCAAACGAGGTGTTCTCTCGCAAGACCGTGTGATGCCTCGCTGGGGACGCACCCCCAGCTCGTTTTCGCCCAGGCGTCGGTCGAAGCGTTGCGTGGGTACGGTTGCTTCAGGCGACACGCCCTAGCGAGGATTTCCTCTTCCACCCCTTTCCCCCTCTCTCTTGCGCCCGTCCCCCAAATCCTCGAGGTCGTTGGCGGCTATTTGGGCCGAGACACCCACTGTGGTATGCGTGTCTTCAACTGGTGCCCTTAAATTTCCTTAGATTTTGAAGCTATTAGGTATGGGTATCCTCCACTGTGAGGACAGACCTCCAGAGTCAGTCTATGGGTGTCCTTAGTTAGTGAGGGCATTCTAGTAGTGTCTTTGATTGTTGATGTACTGAAGGAGAGCCTACTTGCGGCAGGATTGCATGAAGGAAAGAACGGCTGGTTCGGCTGGACAAAGCAGCGCGCCGAGGGGCGCGGCCTCGGCGCGGGGAAGCCGGACAAGTGTGTGGAGGGTGAGACGGGGAGACGGTGTGGTTGCAGCTGAGAGCCATATGTAATAGCAATCAGGGCAAGTTTTATAGTAGGAATAGTTGCTACATCTAATTTTATCCATGTAAGATAAGAGGTAACATATACAACACACCATATCTACACCACCTCTATCATACCAACCCAAATAATTATATTTTATTTGTTTGTCCAATCCCCTCTTTCTTTCATCTTCTTTTTCTTAGGGTTTGTATGGAGGTTGCCCCTTACATGAGAGTTAGCTCACTTTCTCTTTCCTCACTTATTACTTCCACCTCATCATTTAATTCTATGTGGCATTTTTAGAGGCAACACATCAACCATCATAGTACTTGCCCTCATGCGTTGCTCGTTCTGGAACTCTCCTTACGAATGTTCTGTACCTTGGCAGGTACTTGCTCGTTTGGTTTTTTTCAACGCCAGGAGTGACTAGTGTCTAGTGAGAGCGTGACAGACAGATTCAGACATATATCTCTCCGTTTCAAGGGGAAGAAATTGTGGTTTTGGAGCGGACCTTATCCGTGGTCGTTTCTTTTTTTTATTGTGGAGTTTGTAGACGGTGTCAGTTCTCGGTTTCACCATTTTCGTGTGATGCAGAGCAGTTGGTAGTAGCACCGCTCTCCAGCTCGAGAGGCGTTCAGTTCAGTTCAGCATCGCATTCGCACGTGATAGGCAGGAGGCAGCGTGGTAATCGTGAACGTTTTGTTTACTAGCGTTAGGCAGCCGCGATCAGGTCTGGCCATTTACGATTTAGACTGCGTGTGATACGTACTTCTGGAGAAATTTTGCATGGCACAAGGGACGTCACTACACGGGTATTCCCTGATCATTAGGCATCAACAGTTCAGCACCACAGAATTACAAAAATGGTTATTGCACGTCTGCGTTAATACATTAATCTATGGAGAAGATTTAATTTATTTATTCATATATTTTTGTGAAGAAGAAAATAGCAGTGAAGAAGTCTGCTCAATTGCTTCTTGTACAAAGACTCTTCATCATGTAAAAGCGCTTTACATGGACATGGTGGGCATGCCTTTGGACTCTGCACAGACCTATAAGCCCAAAATATACTAGAAACAGTACAAATCTTGTGTACAGAGAATGGTAAAGGAGATGATCTGTTAGACAATTAACGGCATAACTGACGTAGGTACATACATCTGATTAGGGTTTTTTTTTTTTTCTCTTTCTCTTGGACTGTTGAGGAGATGCTTTGAAATACCACATCTACCAATTCAACAGACGCATCGAATTTTCCAGACCAGAAGTTCATTGATCATGCAACAGGGCCATCAAACGACTGGCTCTTCCTCAGGTTCCAGTGGAGGCCCTCATGGATGCTTCGCAGGAAGTCAGTTGTTGAGTCCACCAGGCAGGCAGTGGGCACAGGCCATGGAGAAATGCTGCAGATGAGTGCATCACCTGGCCCTAGCTGCTTCCTGCCCTTGCCGTCGAAGGATGCCCATGCCTGCCCTCTGCTATTGATTGGCACTTGCACACGCAATGTCACATATTCAGGTAGTATCAAAGGCCTGAATGATAATGAATGGGGACAGATTGGCGTGAAAAGGATCCCTGGGACCTGAGCATGGTAGCAAAACGTAGCATCAAAATTACAGATAACTTAAATGAGAAACAATCGGAAGAACTAATCCTTGCTTAAATACACCTCAAGGGGGGGGGGGGTTGAAAATATGATAAGATCATTGACCAGGAAGTAACAAAAAGTGCACATTAATACACCTTTCTTATTTTCTTTCAAAAAATTAAGCCAATTCTGGATATTTATTCATGTTAACTACATTTCATCAGATATGATGAGCTTTGCAACAGTTTTGGTCATCTGTTCAGGCATGTTGCCCTCAGTAGAGGGGGGCAAGTAGTACTCAAAGTCACTTATATTTGTGGACAAATGGAGAGGTTCAAAGTCCCTTTGTGGTTGGAGGAAGTAGGTCAATTTACACATAGTACAGAACATGACATGAATAATTTCACTTCAAAACCTTTGGAGTAACTAAAAACGAAATATTTTAGTTCCAAAGACAAGAGACCTAGTGTAGAGTGGAGATGTACCTGTGGATGAACCATCGATCCCCCAGCTGCCAATGAATAAGCTGTGCTTCCAGATGTTGTTGATATTATTAACCCATCTCCTTGAACACGTGTGACAAAAGAACTGTCACAATAGCATTCTAAGTAGGTAAGGTACGATGACATCCCACGGTCAATTGTAACCTCATTCAGCACTAGAATTGGCTCCTCCGTATCAACTTCATTTTTAGCTGAATCGTAGATTACATGACACTGCAGACGACTCCTTAGTGTGATGCCAAATGGCCTTTTCAGCACATGGTCCAAACACTCACGATACAGCTCACTTGCTTAGCTTAAGTCAAGGGCATCAACATGGCTCCATGGACAAAAAGATATTGTTAATCGACAATGTGCTCCAGCATGAAATATGTAAATGATCTTGCTATCAAGAGAGTTTTAATTATTTTGAACATTTGATACCAAACACGGCCACCCAGCTAAGACCAGTTGCAGACTGATCAAATATGTCATGCATATCCTATGCCACATTGACAGAGAGAGAAGTGTGGCACTCGGGCACTTTTCAAACTTGGATCTCTAATGTCTAGTATATTAATCAAGTGCATAAAGTTATGCCATTGGATTTTTCGTGCAAAATACTTTCAAAATACATAAGTTCTATTATTTTGGTTAGTGTAATATTTTCTTTCAAAGAAGTCATATCCAATGTGTTGTAGTGGCGACTGTGAAAAGACAGATGGCACACATTTGTGGACTGGGTATAATAAGTAACATGCGAAACTGCCATATAGTTTAGCAACATGATTACCAAGATTCCAACACCAACGATTAAGGATACAGAAGGGGGTCATGAATCCCAATGATCCAAGAGAGAACGCAACAACAGGGGGAACTGGTCCTTTGAACAATGATGCTGCCTGTTGAGAGATAATTAACGCATTGTCTAGCTCAAGAACATTACAAAAGAGACAAGCCATAAATATGATACATAGAGAGCAACAAAACAAGGACAGCAGTTATTTAAATATCACATAGAAGAAAAACATGATATTATTTGTTATAAACAACCATAATAACTAGGTACTAGGTCTATGTGATCACTGCAACGAAAGTTTGTCCATGCATTAATCTTAGAAAGGACATTTCAAATATCTGTTTACTCAAAAGACGTTTCCAAGAACTTGATGCTACTGACAGCAGAACTATACTTTGCTAACTATCCCAAAAAAGCGGCAAAGTATTACGTTCAAAATAAGAAAGATACCCACAATCCCTGTTGTCAATTTGAACTTTGAAGTGGAGCTACTAATCTTCTTTCAGCCAAGCAATATTTATTAGTGTGGTACACTTCTTGTGCATAACACTATTCAACCAATCAACTGCATTCCATAATCTATATTCTAGGTCTATCACTTTGCACACATATAGCCTGTTTATCTGTACGTATATCTGACAATTAATCAGCTTCCAGCATTTTATATGCTACTGGTTCCAATTTTGGGTGTTATACTAATAGGCCCCGGAAAATGAGTAAATTTCTTGAAACTGCACAGACTTTCCGGAATTATCAGAAAACTACATTGTTAGGAAACTTTTTAAAAAAGTTACAAATTGTTTGACATATATATATCACAAAAAAAACACCTTTAACAATTCCTAACCTAGTGAATGAAGTGTGGTAAACTTGGATCCACAAGTAGGTGAGACACTAGTTTCAACTTTGCATCGACAAAATGCATTAGACCATCAGCATTTCTTGGATGGCATTTCATCTCTTTGTATACCATCAGAGTGTTAGTTATTTCCAAACTCATATTTATAGCTTAAATTTCAAAATTAACCACACAGTATTCAGATTCAGTAAATTGTCATGTAGTTTGGACCACATACCCATAAAACTGTTCCATCACCTCCAAGAGTTACAATGAGATCAACCTTCGTGTGTAATGTCTTCATTTCCTCATCTGTCAAAGATTTCCAGTAAGTTGGACACCAAAAACAAAGGGGCATATTTCTAAGGGCATAGGTTAACAAAACAAGTATATTATGGAATGGGGATATTTTAAACCACAGAGAAAGACAGCGCAAGGGAACTCTATTGACAGAACTCATCAACAGAAAAGGAGCTATTTAATGATAGACGATCCATTCAAGCACTAATAGAAACTCAAGCAACTGTTGAGAGTTGAGACACTAGACTGTTTTGTTTTTAGTATTTTATCGGTAAAGGAAATTAACATTAACCAACTTAATGTATAATGCTAAAGGAAAGGATACATTTCTCGTAGTAGATATTAGACCACTGTAATGAATTTATCACATTAACAAACACACAGCCACCAGCAGCAGCATGTCATTAGGTATGAAAGAAAACTTCATTGCAAGGGTCATTAGGTATGAAAGAAGAACTTCATTGCAAGGGCCAATGAGAAGAAATTTAGCAGGTTACTTAAAAGTAGAGGGGAATGTCTATTGGTTGTCCATGAGTTAAATGAACCAATGTAGTCCTTAAATTATGAAATTATCACAGCATACTGCTTTTCATTCTCATAAACAGTGACCATAACCATTTATTTCAGTGCCAGATTATTGATATTTAAAAAAATAAATCAGATATCAGGTTATCTAGGTTGTGACAAGATATTCTTCACACCCTGACGTTCCAAGATACAAAGTCTAATGATTCTAATATAGGCAAAAATAATTACCATTATCCCATGTTTGGATAAAGTTGAAGTATGAATCTTCAGTCACTAGTTCCTTGCTAACTCGTGGCTCTACAAAGATGTTTATATTATTGTGCTCTTTAAGCCATCTGCGGAGAACGGCAGACATTAGCACAAGTGAAACAACGATATTGAATGAAAAATATACAATTCCATGCAACATTATTTATCAACAAAATCTGCTTAACATAAGTAAATTAGGAGAGGACAAGTTCCAGAAACAAAAAAGAAGCTATTTTTAATGCCGAACTCAGATGATTGATAAAATATAAAACCTTTGACATACCTGACCATGTTGGCACACAGAGCAGAAAGAAAACATACCTAACCATTTCAGCACAGAGAGCGTGCACGGAGTTGGAATTAGGTTTAGTCACGAAAAGAACAGTTTGTGGAGGGGATTCCCACTTTAGCAAAATCTGAGGCACGGTAATTTTTTGCCATTAAAAAAATACGGCAGCAATGGAATTATCCAACAATCATTTCCAACTAGTTAAGACAATTTTTTTAAAAAATGGATCATATAGCTCAAACCTCAAATAGCTACCTGCTTATTGCTGCGTTCAGCTGTTGTTATATCCCCTTTTTCGAAGGATACAAAATCATGCTTGTGCTGACCATTATTATCCCCATTGCATCCCCATGAAAGTTTAAATGGTGCCTGCAAAAAAAAGGTGTTTCTTAATAAATTGGCTATGATTGGAAGATATTCCTCTTTTCGGTGTAACAAAATAAAATAAAACGCCATAATAGACTACTTGTGCTCATGAAGAAATTTCTCTCCAACTTGAAGATATTGAGTGCATATAGAATAAGAAGTCAAGCAAATGATATAAAAATATCTAATTTTGCAAATTCAACATTGCATCGTAAATGTTCAAAAAAGGCCCACAGATTTTTCATGAACTAAATATATAATATACAAAGAGACAAAAGGCCATCCAAACATGGTTCCATTACAGTGTAAGTACCAACCTCAGTCCTCACCAAGGATGGTACTCACCACGTCCATATTAGTTGAGTCTTGAATATGTGAATCAAGCTATACAAGCAATTGTCTTTTGATATTAGTTGAGCTGCCAATACTAAGTTCAGGAAATAATGAGATCAAGATAACAGAGTAGGCAGACATACTGAAACAGATATGTTACAGCAAAACAACGACCAACCTACGGACAGAACAAGACCAGATTTTCTTTCCAGCAATTTGACTTATTTCATCCTTCAATACATTTTTATCAGTTCCCTTTCATTATTCTAGGCATTAACAGAAGGATGGAAGCCTGGGTGTGAGTTGGTTTCAGCAGCACATCATGTTATATAAAAAAAAACATCTAGCAGGGTTGTAACTATCCGTTGCAGAAAAAATGTATTCGATATTCTTGCCTCAAGGATACCTTTCTTGCAGCAATCTTGTCATGCGAAATTTTATTAGTTCCAGGGCATTCGTCCTGGAGAATTTGACGTGAACAGATCTCATGATTTCCGCAGCAACTTGTTGGATCAACCGACGTGGTCTCCAATGTCAGCTGACTAGCCAACTGCTCTAACTTTTCCTTGTCACAGTTACTGCAGCCTGCACATATTACACTTCATATTTATTGTAGAAATCCATGTGCATGGTAAGAGAAAAAGATCAATTTGCTAATTAGCTGGAGAATATTACTACTGTATATCCAACCCAATCTTTGATGTAATTTGTAAGGTTGCTCATGTAATATGTTTACTATGTTTAGAATTTTATATGGAGTTAATTACCGCTGAGTTCTTCACTTGTGACTTCTTATTTGAAGATACAAGATTAGAAGGAATTAAAACTCAACTTATATAATCATAAAACCATGTAACAAACGCAAGGACATATATATATACATCCTTGCCTGAGCAACAAATAATACTTGATGGTTGACTATTTCCATGATCACAGATGCAAAATGAATGTAGGGTGGCCAATACCTTTTATTGGGTGGTAAACAGTTAATATAGAGGTCATTTTGAGATTCAGATAGGTTTCAACGAGAACTTCAGTGCTAATGGCAATAACAGAACAAGAACCAAGATGAGATATTTAATATTTATTGTCTTGCTCGCAGAATTGCATGACTGACCTATTTGCAAGTTTCTAGAGCATTTTGCTCACAAAATCATAGTGATAGAATAGGAACTAGGAAGGCACATAATGAATTGGTTCATTTTCTGAAAATGATGATCATGATGAATCAAATTTTGAATATTAAATAGTACTGCCGATAACCTGTGCACTGAAACTGATCTCGGATGAACAAACTACTATATCACAAGTTGCATACTCAGAAAACGAATGTGCGGTAGAAATTCTCTAAATATGAAAACTGCATGAGTGATTCGTGCAGTTTCTATGTTAAACAGGATCTTAGCACAAACCACACGCGTGGATGATTCAATCATCCACAGCATATGCATAAACTTTGTCACAAAAGATTACACCAACTCAATTTTTCAGGGGAGGTGGGAAGACAACCACCACCATCATCATCACAAATTCTAATATCTTAAAAATTGTGTTGAAGGCTATATGTGATGGAGCATTCAGAAGCATAAATGTTGCATGCCACTCTTCATCTAACATTTCAAAATTGTAAACTGCACAATACTCATGTAGAAATGATTCCACAGTAATTTATTTCTTCCCATGTAAACTAGATGTATGCCCATCAAACTCAGATGCATACCGGTATATTACAGGATAGGGATAAGCAATTTATAAATCTTAGGAAAATGAAATGGAGATCATGCTCTTATTTGTTGACAGCTTTTCGAGCAAGATGATATCAAACTAAGAGTCAACCACTTTCTTAGCATATTTATGTCTGGTAACAGCAATGAAGAAATAGTAAAACTGAAGCTTCAATGTGTAAATCAGACCTTTGGTTACAGTATTATGCCTGTGTGCCTTGACTGCCTTTTCTAATTCATACTTGCGCTTCCACTCAGCTGCCTCTGCTTGAGCAGCAGCTTTCCCTTCTGCAACTTGTCGCAATGTTTTCGCAACAGCTTCCACATGCAAATTGTGAGTCATGTTGTGCCCATCAGTATGGTACATGCACGCACAAGTATATTAAATAATAGAGTGAAAAGCTTCAAATGACACCTAAGTGTTTGTATTATCACCTCTCATAGCCTCCGAGAACTCAACGAGGTGTGCATCGGTTGACTTGATTGGAGTTTGGGGAAGAAACGCATAAGCTGCCCTCTCTGATTCCATTGAACTATCTAAGGTCTGATCTGAGGTAGCCACACTAAGGTTTACTCTCCCATCACAATCCTAAAATATACAAAACACCATTAAGAAAACAGGAAATCTGACAAGGAAAACATATATTAATTTGAAATCTTATGTTTTGATTTTATTTTTATTTTTTATTTTTGGGTGAAAACTTCACTGTAACTATGAATACTATAGGTAAAACAGAAAATTTCGGGAGAACTTTGCAGGCACGTTTAACTGCATTTTTTAAGTGTACCATCTCCAACAACAACACTACTTCCATCTGCTCATTTGGGATTTGGAAGTGATGATGTGATCTACACCGACCCAAGAATCTCCCTTCCACTCCAAGCAGCAATTAAGCAAAGCAAAAGAAGAGGTACCAACCAAGCGCCGGCCATCCATAGCCTCGGGCGGCGACGGGGAGCCTGGAGGTGGATGAGGGAGGGAGGGAAGGACCCTCGACGCGGCCACGCGGGGCCCGCGCTGTCGTGGCTGGTCGAGCGAAGCACCGTACGTCCAGCGACGAGATCACCGCCACCGGAGGAGGGACCGTCGCCGACTGCGGGCTGCGGCACGAGGGGGGCAGTGCGTGCGCGGGCACTGCGGTGGGGCGGGGCGGGGCGGACGGCGGTTCGCCGGCGGCGAGGAGCGCGGATCCGCGACGGGGTCGATCGGCGGCGCTGTGCGGGTGCGGCTGCGCGAGCGTCGGCGAGGATGGGTGGCGCGGTTGGGGATGGATCGAAGGCCCGCAATGGATGGATGGATGGATGGACGCGACAAACTGATGGGCAGGCTGGGCCTTTTAGCTTCCACGGTATATATATAGAGTTCATGTAAAATTTGTTGTTTGAAATTACGTTTTTACTCCCTCCGTTTCAATTTATTTACAACAAGACATCTCTAAAAAGAATTATTTAGAATGTTAGAATGGTGTTGATGAAAAAATCGAACACACTGGCCTGGGAGATCTGCTTAGTTCCTGTACAGGTCTAAATCTTGATGAGAACCGGGCGTGCCAGTCAGTTTGATCCTGCAACTGACAAGATATGCAAATAGTATATCAAAACAGCCGATTGACTGACAAGCCGATGGAGTAATTCCAGCTGATAGCCGATGCCGATACTAGCCGATAACGATAGGGTTTAAGCAATCGGCTATATGTCCAATGTAGATAATGATATAAAAGCAATCGGCTGATGATGATGTAATAAAATAACAGTATAATCCAGTATAAACCAATCGGCAAATAATGATATGATAAATAAGCATCGATCCGAAGGTTAAAGCACACATCGGCTGGAGGTCCGATGTCATGAAATCCACAAGATTAGATTAAATAGTGAAACCTTTGTTGTCATCGGCTAAATTCAACTTATATGTATATGCAATCCTTATGAGCCGATGCAACGTCCAGATAACTCACCGGCTGAAACCCCGATGAAACCCTTATTGGCAATCAAGAAGCAGGCTAGAGATTATGGTTCTAAGCACGACTTAGTAGATCAAACTTAACTGATGTAGCACTAAGTATGAAAAGAAACATAATATCTAGACAATTAAGCCGTTGACTGAGTTTTCAGGGTGGTAGATGTCTAAGCTAATCTAATCTAGCAACGTGATTTAGCCGATACCGGCAGAAACCCTAAAACGAGAAGCAGCCGATAGAGCTAAATTGATATGCTAAGACTAGATTAACAGAGACATATGATAAATAGGTAGGCAAATATATCATCCAAACCAGAGCAATCCAAGAGGTCGAATGTACTGATGCAGCCTTGAACGACGCCGACGTAAACGATACAATTGCCCGGGCCGGCGGAACATTGGACTTACCCCTTAGCCGGAGATCGAACACCGATGCAGCCCGCGTCAGGTGCCAAGTCCCGCCGGACGATAAAATAAAGTAGAAAAAGTAAAAGGTGGCGATGCGCTAAATTGTATTGATCATGAAGATAGATTACATAGACCCCGGGTGTACATATTTATACTCATGGGTTGATACAAGTCCTTGTCGAATAAGAAAGAAACTTTCCTAAAGATAAAAGGAAAAGATAAAGTCCTTATAGGACATTAAACATGCTTTCCTAAAGATAAAAGAAAACTAACAAACTATTCATAATTAATAGATAACTTGCCATGCCGCATTCTCTTTGAACTCGGTCTCTTTTGGATAAGCTTCCTTTAGTAGATCAATTTCCTTAACCGAATATAGCAAGAATCCGACAACTGACAACTTGACAACTCTCATCGGCTAATCTTAGGACTTTGAAGCCGATGCTGACTCTAAGCCGATGACTACTCCGGACTTACCAAATTTCACTGTTAACAAATGGAAAGTTGTTTGAACCGGAAGAGGCATGTAATCTTCGACTATGTGTAGAAAACATCATTATTTTATCCCATTATACGAATGACGTAAATACATATAGACCACCATAACCAGTATTTTGGTTTTATAAGGTCATGTTTGCACGGCCTCATATCTCATATTCTCATTTTATTTGAAGTTTATAAATTAAATTACTATGGTTTAAAATTTCATATTTTCTCTAAAATAAAAATAAGATGATTTACCTAAATATTATCAATAATGAAGATCCAGATCCATAAATTTCTAGAGCTAGTAATATCCAATCCAAAAAATTAAAGATAAGGAGTTGTGCCAAACAAAGACTAAAGTCAGCTTAACTTATAAAAGCCATGTGCGTCGTTACAAAAAAGTCCACATTAGTACGAATAAGGTTTATGGTAGATTTACTTTGTAGCTAGGCGGTTTGACTTTATATGTTTTATTTAATTTATATTTTTGGCCAATCATATAAAAGCTGCAAATAATTAAGCTGATGTAGTCTTATGAGACATGAAAAGGAAAGATGCAAATGAATAGTACCAGTTGAACTAAAAATATCAAAGATACCGTTGACATGGCAAGAACAGAACCATATATACGAAATATACCAACATAAAAGGTTGCAGTCAGTTTGGCTACCAACACCACTGGATCCACTACACAATTGAGCTGCCAAGAGTGGTCTATTCATGAAAAGGAAATCCATATACCGTGGAACTATAGTGCGATGTCTAAATCAGTAGTAACGTGCATATCCTTTTTGCTACAGGGTCTAGATTGTCCCCGCCCTTTTTTATTCTACATAGCAAAATACACCAAACCGGCTGTACAGACAATAATGCGCTCATCTCATGCATGAGAAAGTGATAATTTATATGACATGCATGAGGCTAATTAATTTTCATGGAGAAAATACGATGTAAACGATCATTTAAAGTTTAAATTTTATTTTTCAAATATCAGCGAAAGTAATATAATATCTTCAAATGGATCATACGTTTTAGAGTACCACCTCCATTCTCATATATATAAAAAATAAATTTAAGATTTGATATTTCGAAACAACATCACTAGATAAACGCTGAACATATTTCTATTATTGTCCACCGATGTGCTAAAATGCACTCAGACTGTACAATAGTAACTAAAACACACTATTCATATAGTAAACCTTTTATTGTAAATTACATCGTCTTCAAATACTTAATCGTAAAAATTTTACAAATAGATTTAGTAAGGATATTTCTCGATGATTTCTATTTCAATAAAAATTTACTAATGTTGAACGTGTTTTAACTATACCGCTACATAGTATAGTATGTCTAATAAATTAACAAATATATTAATTGTGTTGATACGTGCTCAGTGCATGTGCACCGCGTATATACCGTGTCTCTTAATAAAAGTGATATTTTCAGATTTGTAATCAAAAGTACTACCGTACTACTATTCTATATATTTAGAGCTATTTAATTTTACAACACTTTTTCCAGTGCGGAGGAGAGCCCGGCTTTGATGCCGATGGAAAAAGTACACCGAAGGTCCCTCAACTTGTCATCGAGTTACGAAATCATTCCTCAACCGTAAAACCAGATACAACGCATCTCTTAACTTATAAAACCAGTCTAAACTAGGTTCCTTGGCGGTTTTGATTTCGGTTTTATCCGACGTGACAACTAACTCTGCATGAGACCCACACGGGCCCCACACGTCAGGGTGTCCCCGTCAGCACCTACTCACTTTTCCCCTCTTCTCCTTCTCTGTTTCTCTCCTTCCTCTCGCTCTCTGCTCTCGCACAGGGACGGCGCTAGGGCTGCCGCCCACAGTGGCGCGCGCCGCCGGAGGGTGGTGCGGCCGGCGCGTGGGCTCAGGGCGGCGCGAGCTAGCCGGCCTTCCCTCTCCCCTCGTGCGGGCTGGCCGGCAGGGCGAGGCAGGAAACAGGCGGCGGGGTGGCGTGGCGACACGGCGGCGACGGGCCGGGCACAGGCAGGCGCCGCGGCGATGGGCGCGGAGGTGGAAGCAAGCGCGGGCGGCGGCCTGCGGCGGAGCAGCGGGGCACGGGTGGCAGTGGGAGGAGCCGCGCGCGGGCGTGTCGGGAGCGGCGCTAATGGCGGCGCGGTAGCTAGCTTTATGCCGTCGTTGATCTCATCGATGCGTGGGACACGTTCATGCAACGAGAGACGCATTTTCAGCTAATTGTATTGCAGTTCAAGTATTCAACCATGAAGAATATATGCTCAAATTAAAAGGTATCGCATTTGTGCTTACATGGCATGGGGACGTGCTCCTCGAGGTCACCGCGGACGGGGCGCTCGACGGTGACTGGCGACTGCAGCGCGACGATGGTCAGGGAGTCCTTGGTCTCTACGCCCGACATGCCGCGCATGTCCCGACCTTGCGGGCTGCCACGGTGGCATCGCTCCTCCCGTCAGTCGCCTTCGTCGCGCCGGGGCCTTCCACGCCGGCGCCGGTGCGGAAGCCATTGCGCCCGGCCTTGGTCGTCGTTGTGCCCTGCATCCCTACACTCCCGCTTGGCACGGCACAAACGACCCAAACACACTCGATTCCTTATGAGAGCTCGTGATCTTGAGAGATCGATGAGATCATACTGGTCTTGAGCTAGCTGCTTGCCGTCGCCAAGAGCGGCTTCAGGGGAAACCCACCTAAACGAACCACCCTTCTCCTCACCCGCCGCCACTGAGGGCGGAGCGCGAGGGCGCGCCATCTTCCCACCCCGCGTCGGCCGTGGCGCCGCCTCCTCTCGCCGCCCTATCTCTCTCCCTATCTCCGTTTCCTTCCCCTTCTCCTGTTGTTGAAATCGTGTGTGTTCTGTGCCTGCAGGGTGCCGTGGCGGCGACAGCGGCGGTGGAGGGAGGAAGCGGAAGGGCGCGGTGGACGGACCACGACCTCTGCGCGGGGGCAGCGCTGTGCGCGCGCGGCGTCGCTGGGACACGTGGACGCGCTCCGGGAGCTCGGGCACTGCCCGCAGGAGGGCTACGGCATGCGCTGCTTCGTGCTCGACGGTCATCGCCTCCTCATCCAGGGCAACACCCGTGAGCTCGCCGCCACGGTCACCGCGTCGGCCTCGCTCCTCCGCGCCACCGACAAGCTGGCTGCCTCCCGCGCGGCACTCGTGCCTCCTCTGCGACTTCGGCTGCCACACCGCGGCCAAGGCACCCAGCTGCTCCCCCGTCGCCACCCGTGGAGAGGAGAGGAGAGAGAGAGGAGAAGAGAAGAGAGGTAGGGAGGGGGGGGGAGGATAAGAGGCTGACATGTGGGACCCACGCTGAGTCAGCTGCCACGTCGGATAAAACCGGAGTCAAAATCACGAGAGACCTAGTTTGCACTAGTTTTATAAGTTAAGGGATGCGTTGTATCCGATTTTACGGTTGAGGGACGATTTCGTAACTCGATGACAATTGAGGGACCTTCGGTGTACTTTTTCCGATGCCGATTGAAGGCTTTATTGCCACTTGGAATAAGTTCATCCAAGGTCCCTTAACTTGTCAACGAATCCAATTTTCATCCCTTAACCACAAAACCAGATACAACGGGTCCCTCAACTATCAAAACCGGTGCAATATAGGTCCCATGACGGTTTGGAAGGCTGTTTTGGCTTACGTGGCGCCTACGTATCTAAATTGACCTGGTCTTCATCTGACGTGGCATAGATGTGGCATTGACGTGGCAATTTGATTTGGAAATTAATAAAAAGAGTGACCCCACATGTCAGCTACACCAAAAGAATTAATTAAAAATGGTGTGGTCCACATGGGCCCCACTTGTCATTCACTCTCCTCATCTTCTTCCTCCTCTCTCCCCATCTCCCCTCTCCTCTCTCCAGGAGCTGGCGGTTCGGCGACGCGGCCGGCCGGCCGGCGGCGGCGGAGCCAGGGATAACCTCGGAGACGAGGATGCCAGGGAGCTGCGCATGGACAGGGACGCCGACGGTGAGCGCCTGGGTGTAGACGATGAGGAAGGCGAAGAGGAGGTTGGCGGCGACGCCGGCGGAGACGACGAGGAGCCGGTCGGGGACGGGGCGATTGCGCAGGAGGTCCGGGTTGTCGAGCGAGAAGCCGGAGTCCGGTTCGTCGTCGGGGAAAGCCGACGGAGAACTTGGAGACGTGGATGCCGCGGGAGGTGGCGGAGGCGACCGACTCGACGCTAGCGAGGAGGTCGGACGGGGGGTCGCCGCGGCGTCGCCGGCCGCCGAACCTCCCTTGACGCCGCATCGCCGAAAGGGCAAAAGAAGAGATAAACAAAAACACCGTATTTTGATCTGATCTGATATGATCAAATGCACCTCAAGCTTGATCCCATCAGCAGCAATGGCGATATCGTTGATTTCACGACCTGCTCGCTGAGGAATGGAGGTCCAGTTGCCGGTGCCATGGGTGGAGGTGTACGCTAGCAGCTTGGCGCGCGTCCTCCTCCGCCGTCCATGGTCCCTTCTTCACGTTTGCCTTGTCGCAGCACGGCGGCCGCCCTATCTCTACCTCTCCCCCTCTCAGCTCCTACCATGGTGAGCTCAACAACAACAACACCAACTCTGAGTCCAGTAACAACAATCACCGTCGGCGTCCCCGTCCAGGCGCAGCTCCCCGGCGTCCTCGTCTCCGAGGTCATCCCTGGCTCCGCCACCGATGGCCGGCCGCGTCACCGAACCGCCAGCTCCTGGAGAGAGGAGAGGGGAGATGGGGAGAGAGAGGAGGAAGAAGATTAGGGGAGTGAATGACAAGTGGAGCCCACGTGGGCCTCACCATTTTTAATTAATTCTTTTGGTGTAGCTGACATGTGGGGTCACTCTTTTTATTAATTTCCAAATCAAATTGCCACGTCAATGCCACATCGATGCCACATCAGATGAAGACCGGGTCAATTTAGCCACGTAGGCGCCACGTAAGTTAAAACCGCCTTCCAAACTACCATGGGACTTATATTGCTCCGGTTTTGATAGTTGAGGGACCCGTTGTATCTGGTTTTGTGGTTGAAGGATGAAAATCGAATTCGTTGACAAGTTAAGGGACCTTGGATGAACTTATTCCTTGCCACTTCAGAAAGTAATGCTCAAAATTGCTGTAAAGTTTGTGGTTGGATGCGTCCTCAGATTGACGGGCCGGTGCACTTGTGGGCCGTTGCCCATTGAGGCCCACTAGGCCGTACGATGAAGCCTGGAGGCCGTCCTGGCCTTAATCTCGAGTCCGGCAGGCCCTCGGCCAGCCCCAGCCGCCGCCACCGCCGCCGCCGCCGTCCTCCATGGCCGACGACCGAGTAGCCGGCGGCGCAACCCCGCCGCCACCTCCTCCTCCCCCTCCTCTCGACGCCTCCGCGTTCACGCACACCCCGTACTACTGGTAAGCCCTTCTCTCTCCATACCCGATTCTTTTGTTCCGTGCTTGGCTACTTAGATGCAGGCAGCGAGGCATGAATGACTCTCGCCGTGAATTCTTCACCAAGTGCTGGGTAGATTGCCTCTGGCAAGGTGATGAGGTTGGGAATTGGGATCTGGTTGTTTCTGCTTCCTGGATGGGGACGGAGATGCAGGGTTTATTGTTTCGTTGATGGGGATAGAGATGCACAGAATTTCAGTTGGTAACGGTACAATCTAGACATCAAGTTAGGCGACATAATTGTAATTTATGAATGTTTGAGACTTCGAATGGGTTTTGGTTAGTGATAGTCTGATAGAGAGCAAAGCAACTAATGGTTTCAATCCCATTCTTGAGATTGAATCTATCCCGATATTACTACTAGTTACTAGTATAGTAGTATATACAACATATTAAGCTTCAGATGATTATCATCATCAAGCTATGTATGAATTTCAATGATCTCGTTCTTTATCTTATAGTTACATTGATTAACCTTCTTTGGCAAAGATCTACGTCATCCAGTGGACATTGTTTTTGAACGAAATTCAGTGGATATTTTTAGTTCAACTACCTTAGAGCCCGTGCATTGCAACGGAAAACAAATTGAGTTTCTAGCTTATTAAATCAATTGATAAGTACTTATATAGTCTAAGTAATACTATGATTTTTCTTATTGGACAAGTAGGTGATTTTGAAATTTGGGGGAGCCAGTAGTGAAATGGAGGAGTACCTGTTGAAAGATGGTGTAATATTATAGATTGTGGGCCTAGATGTTAGTGGTAGGGGTGGTGTGGAAATAGACACTACCACTACTAACATTTTAAGTAGCATAGATTCATTATTTTGCATCAATGCAAGATTGTTTTAACATTTGAACATTCTAACATTATGCTTTGGAATAATCACATACATATCTTGTGAGGATTCCTTTTTAAACCAAAATTAGTATCTTATATTGCTTAGGGCACCTGCATCGTTTATAGAGTAACATGTGACTTTCTGTTTATATTTTTCATCTGTGCTCATTTTTTGCTGTTTACCAGCTTGTGCCGATATTGTTAAATTAGTTTCCTCTAGCTGTAAATAATGCTATCAAAATTGGAAATATTTTCTATTTTTACTCATCAAGTAATGATTGGATTTCATTTCCCACATGTAGTGAAGAAAATGTTCACTTGCTATGTAAGGAACTCATTAGAAGTGGAATTTCTGATCCTGCTGGCACCAACTTATATGCTGTTTTCATATCAAATGAGGAAAAGAAGGTGGTCTTATCATATCTTTTGTATTCGCCTTCTAATCTTTTGCTGTATGTATTTACCTCTTTTCTGTTTTTGATCTTCTTAGTTAGGATTGCATTTATCCCAATATCTGTATATATTTTTATGGTGATGATATTTCCCTTCCATATTCCATTGCCAGGTTCCTCTCTGGTATCAGAAAGCAAGTCATAGCGGTGATGGTTTTGTCCTGTGGGATTATCATGTAATTTGTATCCAGGTAAATGCTAAATTCGTTATTGTGCCAAATTTATTTAGTTCGGTGTTATTATGCACTACCAACATAAAATAGAACATTTTATATCATGAAGCAAGCATTTAGTGTCATCTACTTCTTGATTTGCATATGAAAGTCTAGGCGAAAAAATGGAGAAGTACTTGATCTTGTTTGGGATTTGGACTCCAGCCTTCCTTTCCCATGTTCATTCATCCAGTACGTTTCTGATGCCATACGACCATTATCATTTGGCAACTCTACCTACAGGAGGTAAACACTCTGTTTATTCTGTTATTACTGGTTCAATTCTTTCACAAAACTTGTTTATGGTACACTTATGTCATATCTAGATGTTACGAAGTTTATAATATGCTCCTATCTATAGTATGTAGGAGTCAGCGTGCATCTTTTTGCATGTGTAAAAGGGCGTTGAGATGTACCCAGGTTTAGAATTGTAACAATGTCAGTCCATGCAATACAACTGCATCAATTGTTTAGATGAAGTGGAAGCGACCTCTAACTCTTGATGTACATACTAGGTTAGTGTTGCTTTCTTTTTCATCTTTGGGGCATTTGTGTGTGAAAGTATATGAGGCAATGCACTGATGCATATTAAGCTTTCATTTTCTTTTCCTTCTTTTGCAGAAGAGTTCTCAAAGGTCTAACAATTTTCCATCTATGTTTACAGGCTTTTCCGTGTGATTCATGCTCCTGTATTTCTTCGATCATTTGCATCTGATAGAAGCCACATGAAGGATCATGCAGGGAATTGGATTCAGTTGCCCCCAAAGTATGAATCAATTGTTGCAGAAGGTATCAGATCATATGGCCAAACCATTTCTTGTGATTTTCATTGTGCTGCCTTAGTCAGGCTCCTAGCTATGAAGATACTGCCAAAATGATAAGTTGAAAACCTGAAATCGCATGTAGAAAATTTCACGGCTGGATAGGTTTGTGATAATTAGTAACAGGGTCACTGGAAATAAACACCATCTTTGGTGGTATGTTGGATTTAGAAGGAATCACTTTAATCCACAGTTTTTTTTGTATAATAATTTGAAATTCATTGTGCAGCACGCAGCTCGTTCTTTTATACTTGTTTCCTTAACTGTTTCAGATGGAACCACCAATAATCTGAATGAGTACATTACGATGTCTATGGATGATGTGAAGGACCTGGAAAGTATGGCTGATGATGTCTACTCCAGCAAACATGGTGTGGTGATAAATGAAACTATCCTGCCTGAATTCTTCTCTCGCTTGCCTGGATGACTCAACAGGAGCTATCTATCCCGATTCATGAAGCTATTTTGTTGTCCAATGAGATTTATGAACCAAGTCCAGAGTTAAAATGATGTTGTCCAAGCAATTGTTAACACAATGTTTACACAGTTTTGCTTGCTGAGTAAATCACACTTGCAATGATCAAATTGCCGGCAGAGGCGTTGTCCGAATTATTGAACCGGAGAGTAGTATAAAGTTGTTAGTCAAAAAAGAAAAAGGATTACTTCCTCCATCCCAAAAAAGAGGCAACCTACACCTCTCCTAGTATAACGAATCTGGACTGAGGGTTGTCCAAATTCGTTATACTAGGAGGGGATCCAGGGGATCCCTCCTAGGTTGCCTTTTTTTGATGGAGGGAGTATGTTCTTCTTAGGACAGTGAAAATACTCTTTTCTGGATCGATACCAGCATTTTAGGGCCTGTTTGGATCTAGCAACTAAATTTTAGTCTATGTCATATCGGATGTTTGGACACTAATTAGAAGTATTAAACGTAGCCTAATGATAAAACCCATTCTATAATCCTAGACTAATTCGCGAGACGAATCTATTGAGCTAATTAATCCATGATTATCCTATGTGATGCTATAGTAACACGTGCTAATTATGGATTAATTAGGCTTAAAAAATTCACGAATTAGCTCTTATTTATGCAATTAGTTTTATTATTAGTCTACATTTAATATTTCTAATTAGTGTCCAAACATCTGATGTGATAGGGACTAAAATTTAGTCCCTGGATCCAAACACCATCTTAGCAGCTGTGAATTATCAACCCGTAAGATGTGACACACTAACACTTCAATTCCATCGGAGGTTGAAAGCGGGCTATTTTCTCAACTATTCTACACCAGTTTGTTCTATCTGGTAGTATCTTGGATATGTTCACAACTACAAGGTTGAATTTTCATCAACTTTCCATGAGATAGAATAGGATCCCATAGCGCCATAACTTAGCTACTTCTGCTATGAACAAAGTGTGGAAATCTCTTATGCCGATTGCAAGATGTTGATCCTAGCATATTATTGGGCCACGTGGCACGAGGCGCCTACAAATCGAGCACCCTGTTCCACCAAGTAGATCGGAATTATTTCACTAAGTAGATCGAAAATGTTTCAATCATTTTAAAAAGTTGAAACACAACCAAATCACCTATGAAACATTTTGCTACAATGTATGAAACAAACGCTTTCAAAAAAAATCAGGTATTGTTTTACCATATATAAAACAATGTTTCAGCATATAGCGAAAGAATGTTTCAATTCACTGCAACATTTGATCTATACATAGTGAAACATTACGAGTACACTTACTGAAACATTATTGGTGGAACAAAAATTGAAACGGATTATCTTAATAGAACATTTCCATAATATGTAGGTAATTTGTTGTAAAAGAATATTTCAATTCACTGCAACATTTCATCCATACATAGTGAAACATCATGAGTATACTAGCTGAAACATTGTTGCTGAAACAAAAAAATGAAACGGATTCCTTTAATAAAGCGTTTCCATAATATGTGGGGATTCGTTGCAACAGGGCGCAAGTGGTGGGGACGCGTGGGAGGCAGGCGGAGGCGCACGTGGGGTAAGGGGCGCTTGATTTTTTTTTGGCGGATCAGGCGCTTGATCCCCAGCATTTTCCCACGCGGCTGCCTAAAAAATAGTTAACCATCTGTAAAATTTTGCCAGGTGTCAATCTGGTATAAGTCTGGTATGTCCCATGCACATATCAATGTGTAAAAAAAAATTAACAACCTATTTGAGAAGCTGAACAATCAAGAGACAGCCTGACTCTGTCTCTTGGAGAGTACCACATAGGCTAAGGTCATCGATCTAAAATCTTAATTCCATAGTGCAAGTGGTTTTTAGGGGTGGTTTTAATTTTTATATTTTGAAATTTTTGTTCCAGTTCTAATATTTTTCGTAATTTGTGTGGAGGTCCAAAATTTACACTAAACACCCTAAAATCAGTTTTTTTTAAAAAAAACTCCCTACACCGGCAGTCCGGCATCCTCCTTCGGCTACCCCGCCGGCGGCGCCCCTCTCCCCCTCCCCTCCTCTCTCCGCCGACGTCGACGCCGGTCCGAGCGTGGTCGGCGAGAGGGATCGCGGGGCGGTGCGGCCGGCGACCCAGTCTCCTCCCACGGCCGGCGGTCCTCATCTTCTCCCCGACCGGCGGCCCTCCTCCCCTGGCCGGCACCCTCAGAGCTCGTCGACGGCTACCAGGAGAAATCGGCACCGGATCTGGCGGCTCGCCGGCGGCGTGGTTGAGTGGCCTCGGCGGCGGAAGGCTCCTCTTCTCCCCCGCTGCTTGTTCTCGCTTCCGCCGCCATCTTGTGCTGCCGCTCTCGTTCTCTACTCACAAATTTCGTTCAGTCCATCTCCGTCACCATCGCTATCCACTTCTGCTACCGCCGCCATCGCCATCCGCTTCCGCCACCGCTGCAGTCGCTCGGTCACATCCACCGGCGCCGCCATCACCATCCACTTCCACCACCGCCGGTATTACTCGTATCCACTTCTGCTACCGGAGCCATTGCTCCGCCACATCAACCCACCTCCGCCGCCATCGCCATCGGCTTCCGCCACCGCTACCGTCGCTCGGCCACATCCACCGGTGCCGCCATCACTTTCCACTTCCACCGCCACCGGTATTACTCGTCCAGATGCTTGGCAGCTGCTCTGATCCACCTCCAACTCCACAAGCAGCTGTGAAAACTTCTTTTTATTATCAGGTTAGTCAAAACCAATTCCCTTAGAAATCAAATGAATGAATAAAACTGTTCTTAGCTGCAATACTGATGCTTAGTTTGATGTTCTTGGTTTGATGCTGACAAGTAGAAAATGAGAGTTTTTATTTGTTGCATATTTCTCATGGCAAATATCAGATTTTTATTTGTTGTAATTGCTTACTGATCATGTCAAACTTCATGTTTTTTTTATGTAATAGTGAGAAGCCAAACATATATTTTTATAGGGTGAGAGAGGAGAGAGGAGAGAGACCCGATCAAGATTCCGAGACGGAGCCAGCAAGCGCTGCGATAATGGCGACGGCGGAGAAAAAGAGGCCTCGGAGCAGCAGCAGCAACGGCGGCGTGGGGAAGAGGCTGAGCAGGAAGGAGGTCTTTATATTTCTCTCCTCTCCTCTTGTTGATGGGGCCAGTATCGATAGCTTGTTCGTTTCGCCCTACCCATAGTCGATTACTCATGGCTGATACGATTTGTTTTATATTCCGCGAAACCGAATAGCTGACAAGATTTTGTTTATTTTTTGGTAGATGATGTTTGGCACTTGGTTATGTTAGAGTTCAATTAGCGCGCGCTTCAAACCCTACAAGTGTGTCGATTTCCTTTATTTTCATAAACTGCAAAGCTGCAGTGTCAACTTTATTAGACCCTTGTTTTCTTCTGTAGTACACGTATGCTGCAACATCTAGATTTTTGTCAAAAGTTTTTTTTTCTTTTTTTACTTATTTGGTGGGTGGTTTGTTACTCCTGTCACTGAGGTAGCATTTGAGGAGTAATAGTGGAGATGTATCTAATATGAGGATCTCATTCAGATAATCTTCTGCCTTTGCCTAGATATTGGGGAGAAAGAAGGCTGTCAAAGAACTTATAAGGAAAGCTGTAGCCATGAAGGATCATCTAGCGCAATTTCCTGATTTTCACAAGTATCAGAGCAATGGTAGCCTACATTGTCTGTTTGGTGAACAAAATTCACTACCTTAGGACTAGTAATGTTCCATCATGATGTAGAAACTACTAATATTCCCAGCGAAAGGAAAAAACTTCTAATGTCAAATTTACCTCTATAAATTCCGACACTAGGCCCTAACAACTCCTATTCAGTACAGTGCAATTTTCTTTTATGTGTGTTGTGGGCATTATATCAATCTCACCTTTTCTTATACTTAGGTCTTTTGGTCTACTTGGAGTATGGATATGGAAATCAACTTCCATTACCAACAAGGAAGTATATCCAAAATCTTCTCAAGGTCACATATATTCCCCTTTCATTTTGCTCTTAGTGCTGCTGGATATTTTGCATATCTTCCTTTTACAGTTTCCCCATAAATGTAATGCTAGAAAGCAATAATTTAGGTTAACATGGAGGGACAATATGGGCCAGAATGGCCTTCAGAAGAGAAAGTTAAGCGCCGGGAAATGGTTGCCCCAGAAGCACGATATATCTTTGTCCGGCAATCTTCAAATGCCATTACCACCCAAAATATTATGAAGCAAGATTCAAGACTAGAATTTACACATGAAGCATGTAATGAAGATCGCTTGATTGGTTTTGTACACTACAGATTTGTTTTGGAAGAAGATGTTCCTGTTGTTTATGTCTATGAGTTACAGATGGAGTCTTCTGCCCAGGGGAAGGGGCTGGGAAAATTTCTAATGGAGTTGGTCGAACTTATAGCCTGTAAGGTAATGTGACTTGTTTAGAAGTTTCTGATGGTATACTATAATGGTCTGCTCAATTTTATGTGCACATATTTCTAGAAATATTATGTGCACATATATTCTGCTATGATACCTTCCGTTCCTTCATCTGTCTTATCATGTAGTACATTTTTTAGCTCAATTGCTATCCTGAAATCTCAGCATGGAGGATCATCTGATTTTGATAGCGTGTACATGCAGAGCCAAATGGGAGCAGTAATGTTAACAGTTCAGAAAGCTAATAACCTTGCTATGGCTTTCTACAAGAAGTTGAGGTGAAGTATTTTTCCTCCACAGCTTATTTATGGTGAATTTGTAACTTATTGTTGGTTGTTAATATTGCGTTGACCGATGGTTGAAACATTTCAATGTAACTCTTCTCCTGCAGATATGTAATATCCAGTACTTCGCCATCGCGAGTAGATCCATTGGTATCATTTTGCCTATAAACTATAGTTTTTATTGATTAAGATGTTCATATCTTGATCCTTCCAGTTTCCACAGATTGGACTTGAAAAAAACTATGAGATTTTATGCAAGGCATTTGAATCTGAAGCAAAGTCCATATTAGAGGTATGCAGCATGTTCAGTATTGCATAGTTTACTGCTACCTTGTACGCTTGCAATTTCTAAAATGGTTGAATCTGATGAATAGAAAAAACGTCACACAGGCATATTAATCACTCACTACGTCCTTTATGAATTTCCTGTATAAGCCTATTACTCACTCATGCGTAATGCGGTGAATTAGCGTTAATATGGTGTCAATCGAGTCATTGACATGTTCTTGTCAATATTTGCAGGAAGGCAACTGAAAACTCCCAGCGCAATGACCAATCTTGTTACAATGTGATGTGATGATGGATGTTGTTCTTCACTACAGTATTGACACCTTACCGGGTACAGCGCTACAGCTCACGCTTGAGCGGCATATCGTCAGGCCACCGTGTTACTGCAATGCATACAGATTGCACCGTTTTTGTCTGAATGAAGCTGTTCCTGCTAATCCATTCTGGGAAACAAACACGATTGGCTGGCCCATATTCTTTCCTTGCAAAACGCAATTGTACACTGTTCTTGCCTCTCGATCCATGTTCGGATTTTTCTGGGATGAAGAATGCTTGAGCATGCATGGGGCGGCACAGCACCATGGGAACCGTAAAAATGCTCGTCTTACGATTGTTGTGTGTGAGTCAAAGCATGAGTATGCCGCCCTGTGTGCGGCGTTTTGCTTTCCTTTCCTCACGATGAAGACAGCCCAATGTCTCGGTTTTTCGTCGCGCGAGAAAAGAGAGCCAATCGCTCGGGGTTTTCCGGTTGCAACGCCACCAAGCCCATATGATGCCGTGCGTCCGTGCGTGCGCCTCTCTCGTGTTTCTAACATCTCGCAATGGACAGTGCCAGAACGCAGCAACAGAAAGTAAGCGTGGGACGAGAACAAGTCAAACCAGCCAAGCCACGTAGACGTTACGTTAGTCGAAATCGTTCTCCAAATCGTCTTAAGATCTTGTTTATATTGGTTTTAAAAGTCGAGAGACGCATCATATCTAATATTGATTAACGATACGATTTAAATTCAACCTCAGCCGAAACCACCCTTCGAACCATCTTGAGAATTGAGATCAGATCTTATTTACACTGATCTTGGGAGTTGAAACATGTCATATACTCATATATGATATTACGGTTCAGACATGAATTTCAAACTCGGTGGTAAATTACGAGAACTAAACTAAACTTATTCCCCCAATTATCTATCCACGATCTCTCACTCTCAGGGAGACCCAATAACCTTATGGGCTGAATCTAGTGTCTATGAATTTCAAGTGTATAAATGTGAGTGAGGTACACTTGTGCCATCTGTTCTTGAGACATACTCTCTCCGTCCCAAAATATAAGAACCTAGGACCGGATGGGATATTTTCTAGTACAACGAATCTGGACAGGCAGCATAGGTTCTTATATTTTGAAACGGAGGGAGTAGCAACAGGGCAAAAATCAGATATCTCATATGAGGGGGGAAAACATTGATCTTGCGTTATCCCAACGGGATAACCCTATCTTTATCCTGTCAGGTTGGCAATCAGCACCAATTTTCAGAGTAACAAAACTGACAAAAAAAGACAAAGCTAATGAATCATCACACCATTCTACTATAATATAAAATGAAATCTCCCAGACAAGTAGGCAACAAGTGTACCAAAACTATCAATCATACATGTAAAAGAAAAAAAAAGAATCAATCATACATGTTGCACAATGCACACACGGCCTGGTCCATGCCTTCCAAAATGATGCTTTCTCCAATGCAACTGGGTGACTCACGGCTTGCATATAGAACCAACTGCAACAATACGATACTCTGACGTGCCCAGGATAAAGAATCCTATTCGGCAAACGTCTGGAAGGAAGCTATCGTTTTTTTCCTCTCTCATCATTCATCGCTTGACTAAAAAGTTTTTAGAGCATCTCTGAATGTCACCTAGAGCACAGGCACTCAAAGATGCCTTCGATCCAAATTAGCGAAGTTATTAAGTTCCTGTTTGGAATGGGAAAAAAATATTTTCTGGGAATTTCCTATAGAACTCTTGTCAAGATCCTACGAAATTCATGCGTTCCAAACGACCCTAATAGTGTAGTTTTGCGATAGTTTATGCAGCGACCAAGTGTAGTTTAATGAGATTTAACTCTTGTCAGTTCATGACTGTATCACTACTAGAGAGCAGCAGCTGAGCACGGAAAGAACCAGCGGCAAGCCGACAGTGCAGATCATGAAACCGATGCTCTTGCCAGTAGTGCTATCTGCTCCAGGAAACAACACACATGTGAGTTAGGGATTACAAAATATTCACAAAAGAGAGAGGTAATTTCAGACTTACATGTCTGTCTGGTACTAGAGTTAAGAATATCCAGATGGTAGGAAAGTGAATTTGTAATTTTGTATGGTCGATTTTTCTCTATTTTTTTGGGTCAAATATGATATACCAAAAAAGGGATTTTCTGTACTTTGGTTTAAAAAATGAAAAAAAAAATGTGTATTGTGACAACAGAACGAAATATTTTAGAACTGAGGCCCCAAAAGAATGTAATACGACTAATTGTCGATGAAGCTTTTGGAACGGCAGCTGCGCATTCTTTTTCAAGCACCTGTTGCATAATAGCCATCATTCTTCCATTATGAACACTGTCGGGTCAGTGCCTCTATCATCTTTATAGATGACACAGCTGAGTTTGTGACAGGTGACAATATCATCAAGAGTGTTGCCTACTATTTTCAGCAGAAGATTAAGTTTGCCGTGGTGGATACAATATCATCACTAACTAGGTGCCCAGTCGTCTTCTCATCAAGTCTCAAAGAAACAGTGCTAAAAAAGCCTCAAAGGAAAACAACTTATTTTTCATGGTATCTTATGATGATCTAGTTTTTGTATACTGCTATTGAAGTGCAACCATCAACTTATCATTTATTAAGTGCCTGTCCTGCAATGTGATTGTATTAGTGGACCAGTTCATGCATGACCTCCATATAATTATCTGGAGGCTCGAGGCAATCAATCATGACCAGTGTTTAATCAGCCTGATCATCTAGAAGTTCTTAGCCGATCCTATCTCTTGGTAGCAATGTCACACTTCTTTTTTTTTTCTTAAAAAAACAAATAGTTATGACATTGTTACATCGCATACAAGTGGGTTGAATTTCGTTCCATGACTGCATGACACCCTGTATGTATCAATGTACCATGTCTACAGATTTATGGTGACAGAAGCATCTCATGCCTTGAGTTCCTTCCTACTCCCCATGTTCAGCTTTACCAACTACCGTACCAAATTCCTAACCTTGATTCCTAATGCACTCTCTCTCTTAAAGAAACACATTTCTGATTGGACAGCAATGTGATGCAGATCTTGTAATGACAAATCATGCTGATGGAATGCAATGCTCATACTCTCAAGCTCTAGAGATGATCATGCCACTTGCCAGTATCCCCTTCTAGGTGGCACAACTTAGTTTTACACCCTTACAAGTTAGTACTGTTCTTCTGATACTCAAACAAGTGAGTTAACATTTAACATTTTGGGCATTTCCATCCGTTCTCATTTCTCAGTATTTAAATCATGCAGATGTCCCATATCATATTGAAGAATGTATTAAATTCATGGAGACAGTTGGGTTTAAACAATCAGATGGAACGGCAATATGCAGTTCCTCCATACAGTTCATGTGATGAATATATTGGCAATGAATGCGCTTTTGAAATTTAGATAAGGACGATGTGCTAATTGGAGGGACCCTATCAAAATGGTCATTCTCTCGCCAACCTATTGATGGCCAAAAACCTGATCCTGATTATGACAATAATTCTTATGCATTTGTGATGTTTCAACAAGTGAAAAATGACAAGACCCAAATGCATCAGACCCAGGAGGGCTAGATGACTAGCAACATAGGAGTAGAAGAAAAGGGCATAGAATGAAATTTTCTTTATGTACCTCAAGATGAAAATGATAAAATACTTTTTTTCCTTAACATTGCACTTCTGCTTCCTATCTACATACAATCAACAGAACAGTTGGTGATTCTTCTATGCAGATAGGGAAAAAAAATGAATCAAAGAAGTTGGGCAAAAGCTACAACAATCTACTTCCAACTAGTGATCATTTTAAAGCTCCAAACTTGAACTGAAGCAGCAAAATGATTACCGGTTGCTTACATGGAGAATGAATTTCATTAACAAATCTCAAATGCTCAACAATAGGTATTGTTGATCAACCGTGCCTTGCTGCTCGATTAACGGTTGCTAACATGGAGAATGAATTTCATTAACAAATCTCAAATGCTCAACAATAGGTATTGTTGATCAACCGTGCCTTGCTGCTCAGACTTCCAGCCTTCCAGCCTTCCTGATCCAGTCAATCTTACAGAGGATTAACCACAGTTTGTGTTGCATTGGTTATCACCGGAGACCTTAGGACTTAAGCCTTGATGACATTACCAGCACAGTACCGATTTCCGAAATGGATGGCCAGGTTGCTGGTAAGTGATTTCCAGGATCTTATCTCTAGAACTAGAAATCTCATCATGACATCGAAGCAATGAGATCCATACATGATGGGCCTTGTCCTCAGATCAACTGCCAAGCAATAATTGATTAAGAACAGTTGCATTATTTTAACTCTTTACACTCATTGGATTTTCTTGGCTTCGTCTTGGATCTTCTCCACTTTGTCTTGGACTACCCTAGCATCATGCTCTTGTTTCTTCTCTGCCGTGTCTTGGATTTTCTTTTCTATGCCAGGATTTTGCCCTGTCTTTTCTTCAGATTTCATTGCTTTATCAAAGATTTCCCCAAGTTTTTCTTGGATTTTCATTTCTTTCTCTTGGTTTTTCTCTACTTTCTCCTGCTCCTTCCCTGCTTCAAGATTGATTCCCACTGCCTTCTCAACATGCCCTTTCCCTGCATCATGCTTGGTTTTCCCTGCCTTCTCTTGCTCTTCCCCTGATTCCTGCTTGATATTTCCTGCCTTCTCTTGCTGCTCTTTCACCAATTCCTGCTTGATATTTCCTGCCTTCTCTTGCTGCTCTTTCACCAATTCATGCTTGATTTTTCCTGCCTCCTCTTGCTGCTCTTTCCCCAATTCATGCTTGATTTTTGCATCCAAACTTGAAAAGATATCAGCTTTAGAAAGGGCCTCCGATCCAAGTACTTTCACAGTTTGATTTCTCCTCAGGAGCAACACCGCCGCATCTTTTTCGATAGATTCACTAGCGGCACGCACTGTTCTTGCCCGAGTTATGCCAAATCTTTGGCCGGCGACACCATCAATCCGAGCCATGAGCTCCAAGAGATTTCTCCTCTCCCTTGCCCCTGGCTCAGAGAACATCTTCCCATTCTTCAATGGCCGGGGTGCTTTCTTCGCACCCACCAATGGCACCTCATCCTCCTCTAACGCACCTGCATTCGGCGCATCCTCCTCCTCTTTCTTCTCATCATCATCAAATGCCAATGCCGAAGTCAGCTCCCGCTGCGACGCGGCTCTATCGCCTGCAGCAGCAGCAGCAGCTCGCTTCGCGATGGTCTTCTGGACATCCACGACAGCGCAGGGGTTCCCAACCACGGCGAGTCCGTTCCACATTTTGCCCGACACGGCCTTGCTGAGAACCACAAGCCGATCAACTATGTCGGCCATCGACGGCCGCCGCTCCCTGCACGACCGCACGCAGCTCGCCGCCAGAGCGGCTAGGTCTCTCCGGGTGACCGGGTCACGCGGCGGCGCCACCCGTGGGTCGAACAGCGAGGCCACCTTCCCCTTCCGCAGCAGGGGCACCGCCCACTCCACCACCGACGGCGGCGAGTGCTGGACGTCGATGGCCTTGCGGCCGCTCATGATCTCGAGCAGCAGGATCCCGAAGCTGAAGACGTCGGTCTTGGTGCTGAGGCTCTCCGGCGTGACGTAGGCCGGGTCGAGGTACCCGAGCGTGCCCGCCGGCGCCGGCGTGGCGGCGGCATTGGCGGCGGCGTCGCCGGGTAGCCGCTTGGGCACGCGGAGGGCTAGGCCGAAGTCGCCGAGGCGCGCGTCGAGGTTGGCGTCGAGCAGGACGTTGGCGGACTTGACGTCGCGATGGATGACGGGGGGATCGGCGTCGTGGAGCGCGCGGAGCGCGCGCGCCGTCTGGAGCGCGAGGCGGACGCGGCGCGGCCACCCGGGCGGGCGCGGGTTGGAATGGAGCAGCTCATAGAGCGTGCCGTTGGGCATGTACTCGACGACGAGCAGGCGCGGGCGGTGCTGCTGCTGCTGCTGGTCGGCGCCGGCGCCGGCGCCGGAGTCGGAGAAGCCGAGGAGGTTGACGAGGCGCGGGCCGCGGACGGAGGAGAGGATGCGGATCTCGTTGTCCACCTCGGGGCGGCGCGGGGAGGGGCGCTTGACGGCGACGGCGCGGCCGGAGGCGAGCACCGCCTTGTACACCGCCCCGTGGCTGCCCCTCCCGAGCAGCGCCGCGTCCGCGAAGTGGGAGGTCGCCGCCTCCAGTTCGTCGTACGCGAACCGCTCGATGGTGGCGGCGGCGGACGACGCCTCCCCACCATCCCCCTCCCTCGCCGCCGCCGGCAGCGCGCGCCGCCTGCCGCCGACCCCCGACCGCCGCGACAGCGGCAGCGGCGATATGGCGGTGATGGACCGGCACGTCGCCACCGACGAGTCCGCGCGGCAGGAGAGGTACCCCATTTCGGCAGCAGCGGCGGCGACAGCGAGACCCGACCCGTCGCCGCCGTGGCGCGCCCGCGGCGAAGGAAGAGAGGAAAGGGGATCCGAGAGAGAGTGTTGGGGGCGGGGGCGGGGCCGGGGCCGGGGCAGCGTCTGCGCGTGTGTTTCTGGTGGTTTTGGGGGCGTTTGGTGCGTGTAGAAATGAAATGGAAGGAGAGAAAGACAGCGAGAGAGAGTGTGTGCTTTGGGCGTCTTGGCGCGGCCGGCTTCGGAGAGAGCGGGGCCCGTCGCGGCGGTGGTGAATTGTGAATTTTTGGGGTTTTGAAGCGGCGCCGCGATGCGTCGGTAAGCGAGGTGGGACAATTCCGTGCTCGTAAAAAATCGTGGGAGATTCAGATTTTAGGCAGGGTGGGTCGTTGACACGAAGAAAGCCTTTTCCCGTTTTCCCTTTATCTTTTGGAGACGGCGAGTTGCGAACTCTGGTGATTGGATGGATAATTGAGCGTGGACGAACGAAGGAGGCAATCAACCAAATCAACCAGCCGTGGCTCGCTCCGCTGGCATGTGGTCGCCGGAAGGGCAAAGGTTTCGCTGGTGCCATTGGGGTCCACGCCTGTTCGCTCATCTGGTCCCCACTCGACAGGTAGTGTGGTACTCCAGTAGATAGCCACGCCACAGTAGTACAGTACGAGAGTAGTACCAGTAGCAGTGTGTTTATCTGTTCCACTGCTCCCTCTCCCTTTCTCATTCTCAGCTGCCGCTCTCATTCCAGTTTGTTCGTCCATCATCCTTAGCTACAATTCACAAACTTTATTTATCTAATTTATCTGCGACCAGCAACAAGATTCGACTCCATGGAACACTGTTTCGTTGGTTTCTTGCAACTCGGGTGACCAACAACACCAAACGGAAATGACGGGGAGTCGCTGTCTGAGTAACAAAGGCTGTCTGAGTCCGGGGGTTGCCATTTAGACCTGAGCCGATCGATCGATAGTAAGTGTGTGTGTTTTTTAATCGGGCAATGACAAGCCAGATGATAATTTCATAATCTAACTGCCTGCAGACGGCGCATGTGACAGAAGCCGAAGTAATAATATTTCGGCGTGTCTCCGAGGAGAACAAATTGAAGGGATTTTTAAATTTTGGAGGCAGACGAAGAACAGAAGAAGAAAGAAGAAAGGATTCAGTTTTGTTTTAAGCCCAAATCGCAATTTCTTTAAGCAGGGAGAGGGGATTAGGCGGCACACGAAAGGAATCTGCACGAACCTGTTAATCTGTTATTTTACTTTTTACCCGTCGGCTCCAACCCACGTGCCGTCGCACCGCATACATTTACCTCCATTTATTACATCTACTGATATATGGTGGTGCATTATTCACCGATATTACGAGTAGAGTTGTTCCTGAATTTTTCTAAGCGTGCGGAGATTCTCTCGTGAAATCCAAAGCCGAAGACTTGACTTGAGAGATGATGACGACACCTCACGCCCGCGGAGAACAACGGTAAACAGAAGAAGTTTCTACGGTCGGTAAGATTATTCTACTGTTCAGCAATGTAATAGTCCCATTCTAAGTTCTAACAAGATACATATTTTTTAAAAATTTTATTAGCAAGTTTTTTAAAATACTAAACGTGTGTTTCGTGCGAAAATCTTGTACATAGAAATTACTATAAAAAACCAATAAATCTATTTTTATTTTTTTATTTAATTAATCATGTTGATGAGTTTTGACCACTTTGTTGTGGTTGAGAACGGGAGGTGTGCACTGATCAGCAACGCCGAACCAATGCACCTACGCGCGCTAGTGGACGGCGTAACCGAAATGACACGACACCGTACGCGGTCGACGCTAGAGGGCCATGGACTTGCACAGGGAGGGAAGGGGAAATTGCCAGGGCATCCTTCTTTTCGATGACAATAATAAAGAGAGTACAACTTTCAACCTCATCAATTAAGATTACATAGTTGTATAATGTATAATTCTTAGTGCATGAAGTCTTGAAGTCACAACTAGAGTTTACAAAATCTAGTATTTCCTCCGTTTCATAATATAAGTCATTCTAGTATTTTTCATATTTATATTGATGTTAATGAATTTAGACATACATATCTATCTAGATTCATTAACATCAATATGAATGTGGGAAATGCTAGAATGACTTATATTGTGAAACGGATGAAGTATCTAGCAGGATCACCACATTTCACAAAATCCAACAAAATTTGATAAAGACTGAACAAATCTAGAAAACCAAAAGTTGAATTTAAAATGCTTGGTTTGAGTACCGATTGGTTTTGTCGATTTTTCAATCGAAACCACCAAAGTCTAATGGTTTGGAATGAATAAAATTTCAATTGGACTTATTGGGAAATGGACCCATGCGAGCGAGAAACCAGCGATATTTTTTGTTTGCTTAAAGAGAAACACCTAGGGGTATTCTGGCTAGCTCCACAAGGTGGTGGGCTAGACGACTTAAGTTTGAAGCCTTATCCCTTCTAATTATTTAATATTAGGTCATTCTCTAATATTCACATTTTTTTCGCTGAAAATAGAAAATAGTGAGAAACCTTGAAAAATAGTTTGAGGTGAGGAATAGTCTGTGAAAAATCATGGAGATTTTTGGAAATGTGAGTAACATATGAAAAAATTGACATGACCTTTCCTATAATTTCGATAACCTCACAAGTCACAAAGTCACATTTAGAGAAACACAATATGTTCATATTTTCATGAAGGGAATAGCATAAAAGACATGTCATTCACAATTCAATATTCATCACCAACCATATGATAAATATAAGGTCCATCAACATTTCAACTACATAGTCCGTAACTTTAAAGTCCATCGTCAAAATAATAAGGCAAATTTTGCTACAAGCCTACAGGACATCTTGACTTAACGGTTTTAGTGGTACAATACAACGAAAAGTAACTTTTGGGAGAAAACACTCTAAAAAAACTTCTAACAGGTGTGATGTCTAGTAGCAAATTTTCACATTATGAGAGTGTCTTTCCAAAAAGAATCACCTCATATATGTCCTACAACAGAAACTGCGAAGTTACGATGACTTGTAACAAAATTTGCCTTAATAATAAAGTGCATTCTTTACATAGTATCTTTTCTATTATTTTATACGCTGCAGTTCAAAAACAAGAGGAATACTAACTTCTCTCGGACATTTTTTTTATTCCATTAGGTTCTATAAAATACCGTAGTATTTATAGGTTTTATTATGGATTTTTTTTTATTTTCCTCAATTCAAATTTAAGTTTGGTGAAATCATTCGAATTTTCCGTTGGAACCAAATATCGATCCATGCCAGGATCTCTAGATTTCACCGGGATTGTAAACCCTAGTGAGGACTCTACCACCATACTAATAATGCTTTTCCAGGGAATCGTTGCGTTGTTGTGAAGAGACAGAGTTTGTATGTGCCTCCGTGGTTATGAACCCTTTTGCTGAATAGGGTTGGAAGAATGCAAGACCATGTACATGGGTTAAAGCTGACTCTCTCTCTCTCTCTCTCTCTCTCTCTCTCTCTCTCTCTCTCTCTCTCTCGTCATCCTCATGACCATCTCGTTTCTGATCAGGGACGTCGTTGTTTTGTTTTTCTTGCTATGATGGGTACTAAAGTAGGGGTAGAAACCAAAATTTTGACGAGGACTTGCATTGGCATATTCTGAAGAGATATGCTAGCCTTGGATTTGGAAATGTATCATGTTTGTTACTTGAAGCTTTAAGTTTCAAGCAAGTAGATCTTACTCCCTTCAAAGCAAGTTTAAACCACATCATGAGAACTTCAGAGGGAAATCTTGTTTACTGATATTCAAAGATCCCCCCTCAAAGTAGTATGGGACGAGGTCGTTAAACTGGTGTTTTATTATGCGCGCGGTTAAGCCCTTCTTTTTCCAAGGAAAGTGTTAAACCAATTAAATCTTTAAACCACCATGCCTTAACTCCAAAAACAAAGTACCCGGGATGACGAGAAGAAGGCAATTCGAATTGTACCAATGCGAGGATGACGAGTTAAATTGCATCATCACTAGTAGTATTAATTAAGGTCAACTATAAACACCGGCACCATCACTGCAGCGTTCAAAAACCGCCGTTTAATGCAGAATTAAGTTGTACTTGCAAAGCTAAGTTGTCTGCTCGTACTAATCTTATCTATCACATGCTCCAAACACTAAAGAGAAGCCCAGATCGATCGATGTGGCTTGTCCTTAATGGCGTAAAGCGCCGGTGGATTAATTATTCTTACACATCCAGCGACACCGTTCGTACATGCTGTTGTGTACAACAACTAGGGGGTAGTTCGTAGTAATAAGCAAAAGAAGAAAAGAAGAAGAAATCGAATGATCGATCGGGGAAAAATGTCAAACTTGGACCGGACAGGTTTGACAAAGCTCTCCCAATTATTACACCGGAGCATATGTAATTCATCCCGTAATTTAGTATCCTCGTAAGGCGTAACCTCATTTCAGGCACGCGAATGGCAGATGTCAAAAAGGACTCTCAAATAGCCCTGGCTTTTAAATTCTGAAAAGTTTTTGCCTCACTTTTCCCATGAACAGAAAAAAACACACTGCTAAAAAGAGGTGTCCCAAGGCCAAAACTGAAGGTATACGAAGATTTAAAAAAAAAGAAGAAGAAAAAAAGAGAGCACTTTTGTTCAAGTTTTGAAAGAGCTCGTGTCAGTTCAGACATCAGACGCTTTTTTTTTTTTGGGCGGACGGGCCGGCAAAGCGGCTTTGCCAATTTGCCATGCCACCATGTCTGCTGGGTGCCGCCGACAGTGCATACGCCTTTTGATGAGAAGGGCGAGCGTAAGTACCAATCTCAAAAGCGAGCGAGCAGGAGAGCACTGGCCACCAGCACTGGCCACCACCGGGGAAATCGCCTTCGCCACGGCAGATTCTGAATTTCTGATTAGTATACCGTCGCATCATCGGTTAAATTTTAATTTGCTTTTTAGAAACGCAGTTGATTTCTCTCCTAAACACCTCATTAGCTGAAAAAAATTTAAATTCCCATGCATTAAAATCAAACATCCTAAGGTTGTGTTCGGCAAAAGGAGTTGGGAACCCAATCCCCTCTTTTTCCACGCGAACACTTTTCAAATGGTTAAACGGTGTATTTTTTTTAAAAAAAATTCTATATGAAAGTTGCTTAAAAAAATCATAGTTGTCAGGGTTATGGATACCATATACCTAATATTAGTTGACTAAATCTTGGTAGGACCCATCACATACCATGTCTTATACGGAAACTGACCTCGGATATGGAGGGAGTTCCGGATAAGAAAAAACAACCAGAGTTCTACATGGAAACGACAAGGACTACTCGGATTGTATCCATATTGGTTTTTCTAGTTCTACTTGGACAAGAGGACACCTATGGATATAAATACAAG